CAGTGGATAACGTGTAAGAGTCAAATGATGTAGGTACTACGCGATGCTCTCCTCCCCGAGCCCCGAGGGGGGGGGGGAGCCGCAGCTCACTTGCGCTCACGACCCGCCCGGCGCCTTCGCCGGCGAGAGCGAGGCGTCTGCGGCGCCTCTCGCGCCGCCGCCGCCGCCGCCGCTCTCGCTGCCGCTTCCTCTCGGCCTCGGCGTGGCGGTGTCGCTCTGCACGCTGCCCAAGTTCGTGCTCGGCCACAGCGACGAGCGGGGCAGCCTGTTGTACCGACAGACGGTGGCGCGACCCCAGAAGAGACAGACCCCTAGGCCACCGGTCTCGGCTCTCTCTCTCTCTCGGCTATCTCTCGGCTCTCTTTCGCCGGCAGGTGACTGGCCTCGAGCTGAGCAGCGCCGCCTTTGGACTGTGGCACACGGGCGTCTCGTGGCTCCGCTCGCTGCTCTTCGGCTGGGCGCTCGTCTGTCTCGTCTCGTCGTACACCGACTGGCGATCTTCTCGCCACTTTGGGTACCTCGCGTTTTGGCGGCCGGGCGACCCGCAGCCGCGGCTGATGAGCGCGATGTACTCCGCGCCGGTGACGGTGCTTGTGCTCCCAGCCTACCACACCACCCACGCGACTGAACCCACACTGGATTCGGTACTCTGGAGGTGTGGTAGTAGGTACTTGTGCTGGCAGCCTACCTCATCCTCGGCCGCGCCCTCGTCGCGTGGCCGCACCTTGGCTGGCAGGCGGGCCATCTCCCCGTATCTCCCCATATCTCCCCATATCTCCCCATATCTCCCCATATCTCGCACCTTGGCTGGCAGGCGGGCGTGCTCGCCTCCCTCCCCACTCTCTACTTCATGCTGCTGATGCTCAGCGTGGAGGATCAGCGCCTCGTGGACATCCGCCTCGATCCGCGCATCCCTCGCCGCCGGCCGCCGGCGGTGCCCGGCGGGCCGCGCCGCCACCCCTTTGACTTGGCCTACTACGCGCTCAGCCTGGCGGCGCCCCTCGCGAGCATCCCACTCAGCCGGCATCCCGGCTGGCGCTGGCTCGCCGAGGCGGCTGTCTGGTGCTCGGGCGGCTCGGTGCCGCTCGCGCCGCTGGCCGTGCAGTCGGGGCACGGCCGACACGGGCCATCTCCCGTAGGTGCTGCTCGCGTGGCTGGTCGTCCGATCGGACCGCTACTTCAACGCGGTCCTCGTCTTCGCGCAGTGCCTCGCGGCGCTACCTTCGCTCGCCATCCTCGTCTCCGCCACGCGCGCCGCCGCGTGACCGTGAGACCCGCGGTCGAAAGTCCGCGATGGATGATCGGGGAGAGGGAGAGGGCGTCCGCGCGGATGAGAGACATGGACACGGGCGAGAGGGGTACGTGGAGCATGGGGGGACCTCGAGAGAGCGTGCGTGTGCCACGAACGCCATCCATGCGTGATATCCCACCCAGCCCTGGACCCGAATCCAGCCCTCGCGCCAAAAATAGCTCAAATGTTCATGTACATGGACCCGACATGCCATCATGGCGTTCGCCGCCCGCAAGCGCGCCCGCACCGGCGGCGGCGGTGAGGAGGACGAGGAGCCCTTTCCGGTCGCGGATGGCTTCAGACGCCCATCCGCTTTGGCGCGCGCGTCGTCGGACAGGTCACCACGCTGGCGCTCGAGGGCGAGGACGGCCCTCTGGCATCGCTCGGTGAGGTTGGCGTCGCACGCGACCACGCGGGCGCCTGGTACGTGGCGTACGTCGCGACGAAGGACTCGCTGCTGCACGTCTCGGCGGCCGGGCGCGTACGCCGCGTGGCATCCTTGCCGGCAAGCAACGTCTACTACACCGTTGCTGCCAGCCCCAACGGGGGCGCGCTGTTTGTGGCGGACTGGAGCAACAACAAGATCCGGCGGGTCGAGGTGGCGACTGGCGAGGTGACCATGGTCGCGGGCAGCGGCGCAGCGGGCAGCGCCGATGGCGTTGGTGACGCGGCGCAGTTCTTCTACCCAGGCGGCATCACCGTTAGCCCGGACGGCAGCGTGCTCTTTGTGGCAGTCAGTGGCAACCACAAGATCCAGCGGGTTGAGTTGGCGACTGGCGAGGTGACCACGATCGCGGGCAGCGGCTGGGGTGGCGACGCGGACGGCGTGGGCGACGCGGCGCAGTTCTACGACCCGCGTGGCATCGCCATCAGCCGCGACGGCGGCGCGCTGTTTGTGGTGGACCATGAGAACCACAAGATCCGGCGGGTGGAGGTGGCGACGGGCGCTGTGACGACGGTCGCTGGAAGCGGCGACGAGGACGACGCGGATGGCGTGGGCGACGCGGCACAGATCTTCTACCTTTACGGACTCGCCATCAGCCCAGACGGCGGCGCGCTGTTTGTGGCGGACAGCGAGAACCACAAGATCCGGCGGGTGGAGGTGGCGACAGGAGAGGTGACGACGATCGCGGGCAGTGGCAAGGAGGGCAGCGCTGACAGCGTGGGTGACGCGGCGGAGCTCAACGGACCAGTCGAAGTCGCCATCAACGCCGACGGCAGCACGCTGTTGGTCGGTTCGATCGGTGGCCTCCGCCAGGTCTGCGTGGCTGCGCCTCCGCTCCTCCGCCTCCCTCCTTTGCCCCGATCTTCGTTCCGCCTTCGAGCCTTGCAGCTGACCTCGCAAAGACGTGGGGCGACGCCACCCTCCCAGAGGGGAAAGTCACCTTCCTGGTCGGCGACGACCGGGAGCGCATCGATCGAGCTCGTTTTGTTTTGTTTGCACGTACGTGGAGCTGGCGCAGATGTACCAGGTGCCGCGCCTCGAGCTGCTCTGCGCGCAGGCGCTGCAGGAGAGCGTCGCGCCGGTGAGGTAGAGCTCTACATCCGGCGCGGGACGGACTGCCTGCGTTGCAGCGCGACAGAAGCGGGAAAAAAGAAAAAAATCGCTACTGACGACTGCCTGACGACTACCAAGGGTCACGCCTACTTCGGCAGGACATGCTGCTCGCTCTGCCGATTGCCGTTATCGCCGGCCCGGTGATTGCTTTCTTTTTTCCGTCTCCGCCACCGTCGCAGCCCGAGCCGCCGGCCGCACCGCTGCCAGCGCCTCCGTCTCTGCCACCGGCCGCACCGCTGCCACAGCAAGTCAAGGAGGTTCTCTCCATGTGCATCGTCCTGGCCAGGGAGAGGTACAGCAAACATGGCGAGATCGATGCTGCAGCCATCCGAAGCACGATCGCTGGTGACCTTTTGGCAACATTCCCCCCCTTCGTACGCGTGACCTCAAGCACGGGCTGCGACCTGCCCAACGAGAAGCGCCAGACCAGCCAATACGACCTTGTGACGGCGCCTCCGGGAACTGAGCTGGTTGACGACAATATCTCTGCTAGCCTGGTCGCCACGAATGTCACGACAGCGGTCGTCTCTGTCACGCTCCTAGACTTTACCAGCTCTCCATCGCTGCTCCACAACATGTGCGATACCATCCTCAGAGGAGCTTTGCCCGATGAGAGGGAGGGCGGCGAGTGGTGGAACCTGTTCAAAGCTGTCTGCTACCCTTCAGATGAAGCGAAGGACTACCTGCTGGTTGGGGCAGCAAAGTACCTTCTATCACCCGACCTGGATATGACTGTCGCCGCGGTCCGGGTGTTGGATGCGGATTGGAGACTCACATCGCCCCGTTGGCGAACATCCGATTTCGTATGGCTGGTGCTTTGGCTGCTGCCGATCTGGGCGGCAGTGCTCTTGCCTGCGGTCGTTGTCTGTAGAGCAGCATTGGGCCACAGACGTGCAGCGGTGCTGCAGGAGCTGGAACGCGCCTTGGACGCGATCGAGGTGGACAAGAACCGAAACCGCTTCCACGGAGCGGAGGCGGGCAAGGCCGTTCGCCAGACGAGGTGGCTTGCGCGTACTCTGCTCCTCTTGGCCGTCCCTCTTCTGCCCTGGCTGCCCGCCTTGGCTGTCCTCCCGGTCGCCCTCCCTCTCTCTCAGCAGGACGTCGCCTGTGCGGCGTGGGTCAAGTCGAGAGCGTCGCGGCGCTTCTGGCTTCTCTTGGGCTGCGCGAGTGGTGTCATCTACTGCGCCTGGCTCCTGGCGAGCTGGAGTCTGACCTACAGCGGGGAAGACCAAGACCTGTACCCGGTGGGGACGTTTATCGTTTCGCACGAGGCCTTCGTCAGCGAGTGCCACCAGCTCGTCGGTCCGAGAGACGAGTACGAATCGTTTCGTCTGGGCGGCAAGAACGTCTATTATCCATTTCATGGCAAGGTCTGTAGCGTGTACCTGCACGCGATTCGGCCGGAAAACGCGCCCATCTTCGCTTGGACGCTCTTCGGCCAGGGCTGCGTCAGCCTGCTTCTCGCCTGCGTCTCTGGGGCGCTGCTGCTCAAAAGCGCGGGGTGCAAGGCCGTCCCCGGCGGCCGCTACCTCGCAGCGTTCGCGCGCTGCGGCGCAACGAGCGTCGACGGGCTGCTGGCTGGCGCTTCGGAGCGAGTCTCCGACAGATTTGCAGGCTCGGCTAAGGAGCTCGTCACCGGCCAGCCCGAGGAGGCGGCAACGGGGCTCTACGGGATCATCGGCTACGAGGAGGCTTACCTGCGAGAGCGCATGGCTGCGGGCACCGCCGCCATCGTCGCGGAGGCCGAGGCGCTGGGCGACCCGGAGGTGCTCGAGAACCTGCGCTACATCCTCGACGCGCCGGCCGGCTCGAGTAACACGCAATTCCACAACGGCTGGCGGCGCGACCGAGCCCCGGACGGCTCCAGCCTCCGCAGCCGAAGGGGTATGCGGCTCGCCGACTTTGTCGCGCTGCCGGTGGCTCGCAGGGCGCGGCTTGAGGAAGCGCACGTCGTCGCTTTGCGTCTGTATTCGACGGCCGCGTTTCGCGCTCTCAACGGCCCGATGCGCAACCTGAAGCTCAGCCCCTGCCGCAAGGACGAGGCGGGCAGTCCGCTCCCGCTCGAGCCCCCGCAGCTGGCGGCGCCCCACCCGCAGCCCGTGACGATGGCCTTCATCTATGAGGCGTTGAAGCGGATGCGCGCCGTCGCCGCAGCGACGACGGTCGACCCCGAGTGCAAGAAGATGGAGGAACTGGCGGTGGCTGGCGAGCTCAGCCTGGAGACGCTGCGGCAGGCGTCGCGGCAGGCGCGGCGAGACGAGGAGGGAGGTGACAAGGAGAGCCAAGAGGAGGGCTCCGGTTTGGAGGAGGGGCGGGCGACTGGTGTCAGCAAGAGCTCGTACCTTGGTTCAGTCGACCAGAGCGCGGGCGAGGGGCACGGGGAGCGCACAGGTGCTGGGAGAGGCAGCGCGCCGCTGTCTGTGCTGCAAGCGGTGGCCAGGGCATTCGGCTGTGAGCGGCCGGCGAAGCCAGAGGAGGGGCGTATCCTCTGGCGCGGGATGGGGGACATGCTTTGTTCGCCTCGCTTTCTCGCGCTCGGCGGGACTGAGTTTGCCTGCTGCAGCACGACCTCTCGGCTGGAGGTCGCGGCTCGCTACGCGTGCGCCGCCGGCGAGAAGGCCTTGCTCTTCCGCATCAAGAGCAGCACATTTATGAACATGGGCGTGGACATCAGCGACTTCTCCGCGTTTCCGCACGAGCAGGAGTGCCTGTATCCTCCCCTCACGTACCTGCACCCCACCGGCGTCACCCACCGGCTTGTGCGCGACGACGTCGAGTTCGACGTGGTGGAGGTCGAGCCGTCGTTCCCGAGCTGAGTGGGGGAAGATCTCCCCCTCTGGGGAGGTAAAAATGAAAACGCCGACGTGCAGCAGACCACAGTGCACAGGACTGAAGACTGAACCCAACCATGTAGGTATTTGTGTCCACACGTTCTCTCTAAGCAACGGTTCTCGACCCGGCACAGGGAGATTGACGTCTTGGCAGCGGAAAGTAACTGTCGAGGAACACGTTTTTCTTGTTCAGGAGCGAGAGTTTCACCACCTCCGTCGACTGTACACATAGAGAACACACCACAGCGCACAGGCGCACACAGCAGATACAGGCCTCTCCGCGCTTCTTGTGAGTCGGATACTGCGCGTGCCCCCGAGCACCGAACGCGAGTCACACCATCGCCGCCTCGGCGATCTCTACGCGGGCCAGGCGCACCGAGAGGCTCTGGCCGCTCCTCCGCTTCGCGGGCGAGACCTCGCCCAGCGCAAGATCGGCCCCTTCAAACAGCTCGTCGGTGGTGGGCGTTGCGTGCTTGACAAAGGCGGCGAGGTCGAGGTACGAACTCTCTGCGTGCTGCGAGCGGTCGAGCCCGTCCAGCTCCTCAGCCTAGCAACGAGAGGGCTTTGGGGGCAGCGAGTGCTGGGGGGGGGGGGGGGGTACTTTGGCTCTGCGCCTCGGTTGTGCGCGCGCTGCCGAGCGTGCGCTCGATGGCGGCCATCACGAGCCACGTGCCCGCGCCTGACCACGCAATAGCCACCGCCACGCCGAGCGCCTGCAGCCTTAGTTGGTCGAGCGAGCCGTCCGGGCCAGCCGGATTGACCTGAGGCAAGGGATAAGTCGGGAGTGTGGGCTCGACTCGGCCGCATCCTACCAAGTGAAGGCGCCCGCGAGTGATCCGTGTGTGAGGAGAGGGGGTCGACCTCGCTCGAGGCGTACACTCCAAGGAGCAGCGAGCCCACCACGCCCGTCACGCCGTGGATCGAGGTGACGTCGAGCGCATCGTCAATGCGGAGATACTCCTGAGGGAGGAGAGAGGGGAGGCATGGAGAGGGAGCTGGTGGAGAGGGGAGCAGCTGTGCTGTGTGGAGAGGGAGGCAGCAATGGGCGCCTTGAAGAGCAGCACACCGCCGAAGAGGCGGCGCCGCAGACCAGCCCGACCACGAGCCCCGCCGAGGGCGCCGTTGATGCAGCCGACAAAGGTCGGGCGGCCTGCGTGGCCCCAATCGAGGGCGAGCCACACCAGCGCGCCGCCGGCGCCGGCGACGTGCATGGACAGCAGTGCGCTCGCCGCGAGGCTGCCCACCGCGAGCGCGCTGCCCCCGTTGAAGGCGAACCAGCCAACCCACAGCAGCCCGGCGCCCGTGGCGGCCATCGGAAAATTGTGAGGAGCGAGCGAGTGGGAGGCAAGGCCGGCAAAGCCCACGCGCGGTCCGAGCCGAAGCGCCGTCACGAGCGAGGCGACTCCGGCGGAGGTGTGGATGACGATGCCGCCCGCAAAGTCGCACACGCCGAGCCGGGCCAGCCAGCCGCCGCCCCACACCCAGTGGCAGAGCGGGTAGTAGACGAGGAGCGTCCTGCCGGGACGGTGGCGGCCGTGTGCTGGAGACCAAGGGTGGCGGAGAGAGGAGCAATACCAAGGGCGCACGCAGACGCACACCAGGCACACACGAGACACGTCAGTCGTCACCGCACTCCGTGGCGCAGGGAATTGGATTCTCTCCTTTGACCGACACGATTTTGATGAGTTTGAAATAATAGAAAATAAGAAAATTACAAGAGGTAATATGAATATGTCCCACACTTGAGAGAGGACCCGCGTCACCCGAGACCCGCAAAAGCCGCATGCACACCGCGGCATGTCGTGTCCAGATACAGATGGCGAAAGAAAAGAGAGTAGCTCGGTTCTCGCACCTTCTGGACCCACCTCGCGCAGTCGATCGGCAAACGCTCACTCGCCCAGCAGGCCATCGAGGACACCGCCCGGGACGAGACCGGTGTTCCGCACGAGGGCGGCGCCGGCCTGCATGTACGGGTGGGCCTTGTAGGCGGCGAGGGTGCCGGCGGCAATCAGCACATAGGGCGCGCGCACGAGCTCCTTGTAGTAGTCGGGCGGGAGGGTCTGCCTGCCGTCCAGGATGGCGAGGAAGGGCCAGACGGAGGTGCGCTCCTTGACGGCGCGGAACGCGTCCCCGTGCTCCGCCTCCAGCCGCCGGTCGCCGTGCCACACCGCAAAGAGGTGGTGCCTACAAGGGGGGGGCAGCGCCAAGGCGCGCGATCTGTGGGGGTGGCGCCGCCGGCCGCCGCCCAGAGCGCGGCGAGGGCGCGGCGCCCGACAAGGAGGGCCATGGTGAGGGCGGTGAAGGATGAGCCGACCATCGACAAGTGGGCGGCGGACCACAGCAGCTGCCCGACCATCTGCGGGTGGCGGGTGATCCGAATGACTCCGGTCTCCCAGAGGTGGAGGCGCGGCTTCTCGACCGCGGCAACCTCCTTGAGGTTGAAGACTGACGGGTAGAGGAGGAAGAAGGAGGAGAAGGACGCGCACCTGACGAGAGAGACGTCCGAGGCATGAGCTGCGAGCTGCATCCGAGCTATGGGCTGCATCCGAGACATGAGAGAGAAGGCGTGCCTGTGGCCAACGCCGCTTCAAGCCGAAGCCGCCGCGCAGTCCGCTGGTGGCGGGCTGTATCTCGGATGCCTCTGTCCGAAGGTGGCGGGCTGTATCTCGGATGCCTCTCCCATCTCGCATGTCTCTAGGGAGCGCACCAGGCGACGGCGTGCGCAACGGGAGACGCCTCTCCGTTCCACCAGACGACGCCGTCGTGCGCGTGCGAGATGAAGTAGACGATCCACGAGTAGGCGAGCGGCAGCGAGCACGACGCAAAGAGGACTCGCCACAGCCGCTCGCCCGTGACCCGCGACGCGTACGGGCGGAGGCCGGCGAGGCCAGAGTGGACGAGGGGGAAGAGGATCCCGAAGGCGAGAGTGACGAGGTGGGAGTTGCCGCCACACGCCGCCTCGAGCGCCGCCAGAAAGTCGTCGCCGTACCCCGTCGGCGAGTAGATCCACAGCACGACCAGCGCCGACATGATTGTGCCGACCGCCGCGAAAAAGGTGAGCCAGTCGCGCCCAACCTCGCCGCCGTCCTCGATCACCTGCCCCCACCGCTCGTTTCGCCACGCAAAGGCTCCGGCGTCCTCTCCCACCGCCAGGTCGCCAGCGCGGTCCGCCTCTTGCGACTCGAGCAGCAGCGAGATGGGAAGGATCTGCGCGAGCACGCCGCCCTCCTCAGTCGGCGGCGGCAGCCCCGGCCGGTCGTCGGGCAGCGGCGGCGGCCTCACGGAGGACGCGACAGCCGACCGCTGCCAGCCTCGCCGCGGCGCGAGCGTCGGCGCGCGCGGAGGCACGAGTGCGAGCCCCGCGAGGTGGCACAGCATTTTGTTACAAAAAGAAAAGGAAGTGGCAGCCTTCGTGTCACGAGTTGAACGGGAGGCGCCGGACTCAAAAGACACCGCCACAGTCCTGAGACGCGCGAGGGCAGCCTCCTTAAAGGCAATGGGGTCTAGATAGATTCGGAGCGCTCGCCGAAGAGAGTACGACAAAATAGCGCCCGTGATTGCCTGCACGCTGCCCGCAATCACGGACTCCATACCCGAAAGAAAGAGGGGGGAGCTCGCGGGAGAGGTGACGAGTGAACTACAGGCAGTGGGGAAGGCAGCCTCGATCGCCATACTGACATGGATGCGAAACAACGACAAGACCAAGGCACGGGCAGAGGAACGAGAGAAGAGGATAGGGTGGATAAAGCGCCTGAGCTGTTCACGGCATGGAGGGTGAGCCAAGCCGAACGTACCGAACGTAGAGCCGAGCGGAAGGAAGCCGGGGAAGACGACTCAGAGGAGGATGAACCAGTGGAAATCCCGTCGTCAGCTGTCACGGATGCACCCGAAGGGGACCCCAGCGCCAGCATCATCCGTGAAGGCACAAGTGTTCGAAGAGAGAGTGGACCTGAGCAACGACATGACTGGGTGGCAAATGATCGCAGTGGGCGTCAGAAGACTTGTCCTTGCTCGAGGAGAGCTCGATAGACTCGAGGGGCCAGGATATGCAGCGTCCCGAGGAGGACGGAGCTGCGCCGAAAGGCGCAAGAAGCCGCGAGAACAAGGGACCGGCATGCGGCGGCGGCGTCGCAGAACGAGGCAGAGGAGAGCGACGCGACAGAGGAAGAAGCGACAAGGGAAAGAACGACGAGAAGGGGGCGACCGCGAGGTGGCATGAAGCTTGAAGGTCGCAGCGAGAATCGGCGAGAGACTGCGAAGAGAGATAGGAAGAGGCGGACGCCCAAGGGTGGGCGACGGCTAGCGCATCACACCCCTCTCCTTAAAATCCCTGTGTGGTGGCGGCGTGCCGTCCTCCCATCCCTCCCTTGTATTGTCCGTTTTCTTTCTTTCTTTTCTCGTGTGAGTGTGGCGTGTACCTAGTTTTGATCGCGGCTATGAAAGCGGTCGAATGAATAAGCGACCCACGAGCTGACCACACCTTCCACGTGTAACTTTGTTTCTAACGGGGGCGTTTTTCTTCTTTCCCGTTTCGTTCACTCCTTCTGCACGCCACTCCGCCTGCACCGCCACCACATAATGGCGTTGTCCGCTCTCGCTCGCGTGGCACTCGCCTCCGCCCTTGCCTCCGTGGCGGCAGCCGGCGCCGCCGAGACGGCCGCGGCCGCGGTCGCGTCTCAGGAGCGGGCCGACTCTGCCGCGTCGAACAGCGCCAACAAACTCGTGACGGCCGATCTCTCGGAGGGCAAGTTCAAGGAGGCGGCGGCACACTTCTGGGCCGCGTCCAACAAGGCCTCCGTGCACACCACGACGGCGATGACCAAGGCGCTTGCCGACTTTGCCGCCTGGCTCGAGACCGAGGGCGGGCAGGTGAGCCTGGTGGAGGCGCAGGCGGCAGCAGAGGCCGCAGATGCGACGCCCGCCTCGACCGCCGCAGCCACCGACGCGGCGGCCGCCGACGCGCAAAGCAAGGCGGGTTCCCAGACCGCGGCCGCCACGCAGGGCGTCGCGACCACGCTCTCTCTCACGACGGACGCGCAGGACGCCGCGATCAAGCGGCTGAAGGCGGCGTACGAGCAGGCGGGAGGAGGCATGGACGGCGCGGGCGCCTTGCTGGGCGAGGCGAACGACGTGCTCTCCGTGGTGAATGCGTATGCCCTCCAGGCCATCTCCTCCGGCGTCGTCAAGGACAAGGCGGAGATTGCAGAGCGCGCCAAGGCTGCAGAGTCGTTCGATGACAAGGCGAGTGTAGACGGGAGAGAGTCGAGAGTACCCGACGAGGCCTGTGCGAGCGATGCATGTGCGCACCCTCGCACCCTCCCTCCCTCTCCCTCCCTCCCTCCGCCTCCCTCCCTCCGCCTCCCTCACTCTGCCTCCCTCCCTCAGGCGGCCGTTGCCGTCGACTCTGCCGTGGCGATGGTCTCCGACATCTCCGCGGCGGGCAAGGCGAACGCGGTCGCCGCGGCGACCAACGCCGCGGCTGGCCTCTCCTCCACCACAAACAGCTGGCGCATCGAAGAAGGCGCCGCGTCTGAGGCGCCCGCCGCTGAGGCGCCGGCGGAGAAGGTTGGCTGGATGCCGTTTGCGCAGACGGGCGCCGAGACGGGCGCGGGGTTCGCCGCGCAGGCGTACCACACGACATACCCCCGACACGCCCACGACGCGCCCACGACACGTCCACGACCCGCAACGTGACACGCCCGCGACACGTTCTTGCGACACGCCCACGACGCGTCGGCGCCTCAACGTCGGCGCCTCGGCCCGCGCAGGGGCTCGACACCGGCTTCCGCTTCTTCACGGACCCGAGCTTCGACTTCCAAAAGGAGGGGCAGGCGTACCAGGCGTCCTCCAAAGCCACCGCGGACAAGTTTGCCTCCATCCAGTTCTCGGAGAATGCCACCGTCGGCGACGCCTCCGCCTCCGCCGCCTCGTTCGTCGCCGCAAAGTACGCCGAGCAGCAGGCCGCCAAGCAGATGGAGAGCGAGGCTGCGGCAAGCGTCGCGTCGGAGGCGTCGCTCAAGCTCGCCGCCGCCGCCACCGCCACGCCCAGCCGCGCGCAGCCGGCCGCGGCGGCGGGCGTGGTGGCGGCGGCGCTCGCCGCTGTGGCTGTGGGCGTTGCCCTCCGCCGGCGTCGCGGCGCGGCGAACGCGGGAGATCCCGCGGCTGCCCCCGCGCTCATGGTGTGAGAGCTCTGGCTGCACTCGCCTACGGAGAGACGAGTGCGTGTGTGTGTGTGTGCCCGAGATTGCGGCATGAGTTGGTCGTGCTGTTGCGGTGGAAGAGCTTCGAACATGTCTCATCACTCATGTGTGGTCCGACAGCGGGAGACCGCGAAGGGCACCGTCATGCTTGTATCAGTCGCATGCACATACACATGTCATGGTACATGGGTTATGGTGATATCCGCGTACATTCAGATCGAGGATCTCTCAGTAGAGCCGTACACTCAGCACATGTTCTCTCTCAGCGGGTGTCAGTTGTCTCAGGACAACACGAGTGTGAGGAGAATGAAAGAACCACAGCAGCCCGCGTTGCGAACAGACGACAACGCGACGGCGAGACGCCTCATCTGGGGTACGACTCGCTCTCGAGAGCAGACTGGCTCAAGAGCGCCCGCAGGCGGAGAGCACTGGTCGCGCTCCGCAACACCTGCAGGCTTGCACAGCGCAACGCTGCGAGATCGTCCTCCTCGCACGCCCGGCTGCCACCACGCTTGCAAGCGGCGAATGCCGCCACCTCGGCCTTGCAGTGCGCGCTGGCCACAGAGACCAGGCTCGAGATTACCTCGGAGGCGTGCTCATGCGAGCAGGTGGCGAAAGCCTGCTGAGCGTGAGCGTATCCTGCAGAGCCGCTGGCCGCGAGGCACTTTTTGAGCTCCGCGGACTGACGGCGGCAGTGGAGCGCGGCAGTGAGGAGCGTGCAGGCCTGCCCAATCGCCTCGTCGGCAATGCTGTCACTCATAGAAGAGTTGAGTGAGGACGCGAGAGCTGGTTTTGAGGAGGCGGCGGCGCGGATTAAAACAAATTTTTTTCGCGGTTGTTTTTTTTTCCCCTCTGTCAGCTCACCGATCTGTCATCAATCAACCCAGAGATATGATGCACCAGCTCGCCATCTTCCTCCTGGGCGTCGCAACGACGTCGGCGCTTCGCATCCCAAGCATTCCGACACCCGCCGCTGCCGCGTCGGCGCTCGCGCTCTCTCCGCTTGTAGCAGCGCCCGCCTTCGCTGACGTCGTGCACCAGGCGACGATGGCGTCCAAGGCGCCGTCTAGATGCCAACCTCACATGGCGACCGCGGCATTCTATCCGCAATCACGCCCTCAGCCCACGTTCATAGCGTGCTTCCACGCTGCAGGCACACGGCGATGTCGTGCTGCACCCGGACCTTGGCGCCGCAGCAATCGGTCTCGTCGCGGGCGTGGTGTTTGTGGGCGCCGCCTCGAACGCCGCGCTCCACTACGGCGACGATGAGGGATGTCTGATTCACGAGCAGCACGAGATCTGCGGCCGCCTTTCCGAGGGCGGCGAGTGCGTGCTTTCCAAGACCGGCCAGTGGGTGTGCGCGTAGCGCGCCCGCCTGCGTGGGCGCGTTCGCAGCCAGGTGGGCGGCGAGAATGAGGCGCGCTCGTGAAGTGTCGCGCCCCGCACGCAAGAGCTGAACCGCTGTCCGTCAAGGCGCCGCCCGCACGTTCGCATGGTGAGCTGCGTGGTGTTGTTCCCTTCTGTCAGTTCTGTACTCGTTCTGAGTTGACACTGTTGTTTTTGAAGTCTCTCTGGTCTCTCCACTCTCGTTCGTTCTCTGGACGAGCGAACGTTGATGAGACCGCCACGACCAGCGCCATCCGCCATGTGTGTGCACACAAAAGTCTAAAAGCCGCGGGTGTGTGCGAGTGTGCCACCGCCGCGGCACCGGCCACCGCGGCGCCACCCACCCCCCCCGCCCGACCGCGCACCGCCACCGGCGCACCGGCCTGGGCCACCGCCGCCGCAGGCGCAGCACCAGCAGCCGCCAGCACTCCCCAGAAGAGCCGAGAACGAGGAGGAAGCCAGAACTCAGACAGCCGCTCTGCCTAGAGCCGTAGCAGCCTAGGGCACGTAGACGTACCTACCGCGTACCCGGGGGACCTAGCAGCTAGCAGAGTAGAGCTGTTTGACGTTGGGAGCTGAACACGGTGTTGCTGAGTGTTAACAGTAACAACAGAACAACAGTGGGGCTCCCCAACAACAGTAGCTAACGTTAGGCCGGCAGAACAACAATAAGGAAGGCCTGGCAGTGACCCACGACGATCTCCAGCGTCCAGTGCGGGTAATACCCGAAAATACCCGGAAACCCCCAGGTTTTTTGGGTTCTACCCGGGGTTTTCGGCATTTTCTGCTTGCTGGCCGCTGAACAACAGTAACAACAGTAACAAACAGTAACAGCATGGGCTGGGGTGAACACTTGAACAACGTCAAGGATTTCAGCCAACACTAGGCGCAACTGTTAGGGCCAAAGTTAATGTTAAACAGCTCTAGCTAGCAGTTTCCTAGCACACCGCGGCGCGCGGCGGGTCGACCGTGGTGCGCAACTCCAACAACACGCGACAACCGACAACGTAAGTACCGTAATATCTCAGCAATGTGCAATCAGGGGCTATGTCGTAACTCTCGTTGTCGTTCGTATCTCTCGTGTCTCGAATCTCGTCACTGCCTCAGCCTCTCCCTGCTGGCCCTGCTCCCCCCTCCCCGCTCGCGCTGCTGGGCGTGGGGGTCTGCCTGTGATTATCTGGCAGCGCCGCGGGGGCAGCGGGGCGTCTCCGTCTGTAGGTCCGCGCGCGTGTGTGTGATCTGCGTGTGTCGGGTGTCTGAGTCTGTGTGTGCCGTGTCGTGTGTGATGCGCGCACAGAACCCAGAAAAAGAGCGCCGCGCCGTATAACAACACACGACTGTGTACAGGGAGAGACAGTAGACAGAGAGCGGAACGTACAGCCCGGCTTCAGAGCGGAAGCACCAAGAGTGAAGAGAGAGAGAGCGCGCGACAGGAGGCGGGAGGCCGTTCGACGTCCCACGCAGAGAAGCGCGTGCTCGCAAAGAGTCGCTTCGGGACCTTCGGCTCTCGCGCGATGCGTTCAGACCGAGGTGGTCCCCCGCGCTCGCGGGTTTGTGGCGCCCGGCTGAGGGAATCCTCTCGACTTGTCCAAGGGGGGGCAGGGGGGGGGGCGAGCGAGGGCCGCGAGAGCGAGAGCGTACAGTGCGGGGGGCGTGAGCCAGAGGCGACACGAGGTCGCTGGAGAGGCACATCGGAGACCTTGCTCTCTCCGAGGCGGCTCAGGCGCACGAGCGGAGCGGGAGCGTGGCCGACAGCCGCTCGAGGGCAGCGGCCGCGAAGACGGCGAGGCGGCGGCCCGTCGCCTCCGAGGCGGCGAGTGCGCCTGGGGGGCGTGGAGCGCGCGGGTGGGCGCGCGGGTGGGCGAGGTGAGGGTGTGGGCCATATCTGCTGCTGATGCTGCACCGCCGTCCGCACTGTCACTGCCCCCCCTCGCTGCAGAGGGGTTGTTTGCAGAAAACGCCGCCCGCGCCGCCCGCGCCGCGGACGCCCCCCGCGCCGAGGTACCAATATGCCATCCTGGGGGGGACCCCCCCCCCCCCCCCCCCTCCTTTCGAGCACACCGGCAGCCCGCTGGGACCCCCCCACCCCGCCCTCACCACCACCCCAGCTCTCCGCCCGCGCACCGTCGCCGTCGCCGTCGATGCCCAGCAGCGCCAGGACGGCCGCCTGAACGCCCTCGGGCTCGGGCGCTGCCGCGGGCTCAGGCGGCGCGTCGGCCAGCCACGGCACCGAGGCCAGCGACTGCAGCGAGGGCAGCGAGGGCAGCGACTCCAGCGAGGCCAGCTTGAGCGAGGTCCTGCGCGAGAGGGAGGGGCCGTCCCGCTGGGGGAGAGTGTCACCGGAGGAGCTGCTCGCGAAGGCGCACACGCAGCACATGCAAGGCGGCACTTCTCCCCCCCCCCCCCCCCTGGCGTGCTGTGGTTGTGCGCGTGCTCGTCGCGCACATGTGCGTTCGTGTGCGCTCGCGTGCAGGGATGTGGCGAGAGGGAGACCAGGCCGCCGGTGGGAGGGAGGAGGGAGCCAACGCAGGCGCGGGCCCGTGCGGGGCGCTGCAAGGGGGGCGCAAGCCTGCCGCCCTCGGACAGGGCAAAGGCGGCGACCACGCCGGTCGCAGCCGCAGCGGCCAGAGCGGCGGCAGCGCCCGAGCGAAGCCGTGGCGCTGGGTGCGGGACGGGGACAGCCGCCGGCGCCGCTGCCGGCTCAGAGTACCGCGGCGGCGGCTCGTAGGGCTCGTACGTGTCCGAGGCGTCCCCCGGAGACGTCTGCGCCGAGGCGGCGTCGGTGCACGAGCTTCGACGAGCCCGCAGACTCGGAGGCGTCGGCGACGGAGTCTCTTCCTCGAGGTCCGGCAGGGAGTCGTCGGTCACAACCTCTCCCTCGGGATCCTCGCCGTCGGAGCCTTGATGCTGCGCCTGCTCCACAGTCTGCGCCTGTTCCACCGGCTGCGCCTGTTCCACCGGCTGCGCCTGTTCCACCGGCTGCGCCTGTTCCACCGGCTGCGCGTGTTCCACCGGCTGCGCCTTCTCCACCGGCTGCGCCTGCTCCTCCGGCTGCGCCTGCTCCTCGGGCGGCTCCGGCGCGAGAGCGGCACCTGCGTCACTGGGGGTCGCGGGCGCTGTGCCGCTGTCAGAGTCTCCGTAGACGATGGTGCCGCTGCTGCTCGCGGCGGAGGAAGCCGGGCTGCGGCCGTCGGGCGAGCCGCCGGCGTCGTCGCCGCGCGGGCTGACGTCGATGTCCGCGAGGAGGTGGCGAGCCACAAAGCGGTCAATGTCGAGCTTCGTCTTTGGCGAGTGGAGCACGCTGTCGGGGCTCACTGCGCGAGCGAGGTCGGCGTCGTCGCGCTCGGGACCGGCGCCTCCACGCAGGGATGTGGCGCGGCGCGCCGCCTCGGCGGCCTTGGCCTGGGAAGCCCGGGCCTTGGCCGCCTTCGCCTCGAGCGCCTCCTCGCGTTGGCAGGCGGCTCGGTCCGCTCGCACAGAGCGTGCTGCCGTCTTCTCCATCGCGGCCGCGTGGATCGTCTGCCGCGTGAGCGCCGCCTTCTCCAGCGTCACTCCGTTCCGCGTGCGCGCCTTGGCGACCACCGAGGCCTTGAGCGCCTCGGCGCGCTCTGCGGCTTGGCCATGCAGGCTCTCGATCTTGGCTCGCAGCGCCTCGCCACGGGCGGCGTGCTCGCGGCTGGCGAGGCGGGCGGCGACCGGAGGGGACATGGGAGATGGGGCGGCGGGCTCGGCAAGCGACATCATTCTGTGTTCGAGCCGAGCGATAGTTGGTGCCTGCCAGTGGAAGGCGGGAGTCCAATTTCTTATCTCTGATCCGAGAGTACAGAAAACCGATCGCCGCGATCCGAACACCGAAGTGGCCACAATACGAAGAAAGAGCGGGGCCCTTGACGCCTCAGTCCGGCCCTCCGAGAGGGGAAGGGAATTGTGGGGTCCCCACGGGCGCCTCTTTCTTCGGCCCGCGATCGGTTTGAGATTACGCGGTTCACCACGGGAGGTGCCTACGCGAAAGGGGATTGTTCCAAAAAGAAACGCGACGATTTTACTTGTAGAAGCGTCCCGAAACGAATTTTCGATTGAATATGCTGCGCTCGCAGTCGTCGCCCGCGCTGACTCCTCCGTGGCTGGGATCCGGCTCAGGGGCGCACGGCCTCGGCCGCTCGCGCAACTTGCACGCGCGGAGCACGAGCAAACTGCTCTCCGTCGTCTCCCACCCCGTGTGTCGCAAACCCAAAATCAGACCCGCAGCGATCGACGCAGGGTGTATACCCTGTGCTCATGCGACGTAGGCGGGCGGCGCACGCAGAGAGCCAAAGTCGACGCTGTCCGCGCCCTCCCAGAAGGGCGGCGCGGGCGTTACGCCCCTGACGGTGAGCCGCTCGGCGAGCACCCGAAAGCTGCCTCACCCAGACAGTCCGCCGAGCAGGCTCAAGAGCAAGAGCCTGATGGCAGAGGCGCGATCACCTCGAGACGCCTTTGTGACGCCGCGTTTCGTCCGTTCCACGCCTCGTGTGCCCCTCGCAGGCGCAGAACGTCTTCACCGTGGCGGACCGTGACACAAATGGGACGCTAGACACTTCCGAGCTCAGCGACATGCGAAGGGCCATCCTGCGGATGGAGCCCGAGCTGCTCAAGCACCCGCTGACGCCTGCGTTTGCTGACAAGGCGTGGCCTCCAGCCCATGCCAGACACCGCGCGCACCATCAGTCGGTCGAGGATGGGCAGCTGTGGGTAGGTCATATTGCACGTGCTCGATACCAACGGCGACGGAATGGTCAGCCGCGAGGAGTGGCTCAGCTTTGTCACAGAGCAGGCGCGATTGCCCGCACCTCCGCCTCATTGCCCCAACACAAACTTTGCCTGGCTGTGAGCAGCGAGCTTAGCTGGGAAGGATTCCCGACCGGACAGGCGGCCGCTACCTCGGAGCGTGCCATGTTGGAGCTAATGCGGCTGCTCGCAAAGAAGATCAACGACAAGCGATGAATCGTAGATGCGTGCGCCTCCTCTCTCGTGTCAGATCACACGCAAGGCCTCGCGCAGCCACCACGTGCCGCAGAAATGCAGCCTTGCGCTATAGGTGGGCACCTGCACCGTCCAAGAGCAAGTCTCTGCCAAGCGCCACAACATTTGTGGAGCCGCCGATCGTCAAGAAGCATGCAGTTAAGGCGCTGCCCTGAATGAAGGATTTTCCGGCGGGCTCTCTCTGGCGAAGGGTGGTTGACTCAACATGTCCTGTGTCCCGATCGACATACAGTACGACATCGAGCTGTCCTAGTGGCCAATGCGGGCTCTAGCGCCAGACCGGATATTCGTCCTCTCTAGTCAGTCGTCGCGCGCGTCGCACGCACTGACGCACAGCCACTAATTTCGATCGAGACCTTTCGTCTCTCACGCGCACTCTCTGACTCTGGGGCGGTATTTTGAGAAAAAGTTCTCCGCGTGTGTGCACCGTGTGCGTTCCTGTGAGATCTAGAGCGCTAGCGAGGCCGAGAGGGCGCCGAGGGCGAGGCGCTGTGACCCCCTGTGTGACGGCGCTGCCCGCGCTGGACCGCTGTGCGAGTGCGCGTGCACTCTCCGCTCTGCGGGAGAGAGTGGTGTGTGGACGAGAAGTGTCTCTCGTCTGGGAGTGGTGTCGCGCACTGTTCTCTCTATCCGATAAATAAATAAATAAAAACAGACACCTCTCTACTGTGAGATGGGTAAAAAGGAACAGGCCCCCGCCCTTGCGATCTTTGTGCAGGGTTCTTTGTGGGTGTGGTCGGCGACTAGCCGGGGTCGTCCTCCCGATGGGGGACTAGCACTAGCCGTCTCTCTATCCGAGCCTGTGTGGTTTGTTTTATATGTCAAACGTTGTACTTCTAGGCACTAGGGCGCTACCAATGGTTGGGTAGTAGGGCTAGAGGGTCGCTCTACACTTAGCCTCTGCAGCGAGCGAGCGCTCAACTTAGCCCCCGCACGGAGCCGGGCTCGGACTTAGACGTGTATGGTCGGGGGCCATGCATGAACTTAGACGACACAAAGGCCAACTCCGGGTAAAACCGGTATAACCTGCCCCAGGAATTGCGACTCGCCGCTTTCCTCCCGCTGTGATTCTGTGTGAGCTCTGTGTCTTGATTTGCCAACAATACACCTACATGCAAAAACCAGGAAAAATACCTCGGGACGCGTCCCCCGACCAACGTATGCCGCGCACGACGCCATTGACATCGCCTTGTCCCAGGGCCAGTGCGCTACTTGCGGCGCGCAACTCCTGCTCAATACGCGCACCGTACCATGTGCTGCCGCTATGCGTGTCTTAAGGCGGCTGCGGCGAAGCGGCGGGCGCGGCATGCCGATGGCGGTGCGGACGATGCGGTTGCGATGTGTTCTGCTTCAAGATCGTGGCGGTGCTTGGCATGCACTTCTGCGATCCCAATCAGCTCATCGCAACGAAGCAGCGCAACAAGCTGGCTGCTGCCAACAAGGCCCTATGCTACCTCACGCGCGGATCGTTCAAAGAGGACCAGCATACACAGGGGTTCTCTGACACGCGTTCGTTTGAGCTTGAGGCTATTTGTGAGAAGTGTTTGGCTTGAAGATTGCGCTCAAGAAGAGCAACGAGAATCGGAAGAGGAGGATGCTGAGGCGGCGATTGCTGAGCATGAGAAGGATCGATCCGGATTAGAAGGCGCCCGCCGCAGGCAAAGAAAATTTGGGGCTAGCGCCGTATATCGTTGATCACGGTGTGGGAGCCTCTTGCTTGGCCCCAGGCCGTGCCACGGCACTTAGCCCGCATAAGAGGCTGCCGCCGATCTTAGACCGCGTAAGCACCCCAGCGTGCCAGGGCACACTTAGACCCGCTAAGCCTCGAGGCTCAGAACTTAGACTACTACCCAACTTCCAGTGCGCTACACACCGCGCGCTAGAGGGCGCCTAGCGGTAGCGCCTAGGCGTGCGGTGTACAATGTAGACACGAAAAAATTAGGGCGAGGCACGCCTCCAACACTGCGGACTGCTCACGCGGGGGCCTAGTGGCCGCAGGAGAACCTCTGGCGCTCCGGAAGAGAGAGGAGAGGAGCACCAGGTATCCAGCCGCATGTAGACCTATCCACTGGTGGGCGAGAGTCAGCACCGAGGGCGCTGGATCTGGCCACTGGAGCCACGGCAACGCTTGGCGGCACGCATCCCGAAGCGACGTGCTTTCGCGCCGGCGGCTGCCCGGCCTCCGCTCTCAGATGGTGCCGGGGCGCTTCATGCGGGAGCCCTTGGTCTTGGGCGGTGGCGGCGCCTTCTTCAAGAGGTTCGCAAGGTTCCACTTCTCCTGCTCGCCCTTGGTGGTGCCCGAGGCGATGGCGGCGTCGGGCGCGCGCGAGCCAACGGTGTAGCCCCACCTGGATCGGGTTGCCAACACGCGTGACGTGTAGCCCCACCTGGATCGCCTGTGCGTGTGAGCGTGACGCCTTCGCCGCTGTGGCTGTCGGGTGTTCCTGTCGGAGTTGGAGCATCTATTCAGCCTCACAGCGGGTTGCCTTTGGCACCGGGCTTCTGCGGGCCGTCGGGTGCCTTGTACGCACCCCAGGTGCCAGTCTTGTACCCGTCCATCACGATGCTGCTCCGCGAGCCGCGGAGCGCAGACGCCGGCGCGGTGAAGGCAGCGGCGAGCGCGAGGCACAGCGCGAGGAGGACGAAGCGGAACATCTGTGCGGTGTGCGGTGCGTCAGAAAGGTGAATGGCAACCTCTGGGAGCACCTGCGATCTGCGAGACGCACATCTCTTGAGAACAACCGAGGCGAGTCAGAGGGAGCAATTTCACACCAGCTGTTTCACAGCCTTGTTATTTTGAGAAGAAAGGCCTGTGGCGCTGTGCGCTGGTCTGTGAGAGGCTGAGGTGCGAGCCCTGGAGGCCCTGGGAATGGGGGAGACTACCCGCGTTCATCACAGATAGATAGGTTGATAAGAAACAAGAAGCTCAGATCGCAGACAGTGAGGGGGGGAGAACTAAGTTGTCGAGAAAAGCTCTCGTCGGAAAAAAGAAAGTTGTCACCCTTGGTTTTCCAAGAGATTTCCCCTTCGCTCGCACCAGAGGTGCACCTCTAACGCCCCACTGGATAGGGCCTCCCGACAACGCACCGACGGTATACCACTGGCGCGCCTCACCACCCTTGGCCATCCCTGTCCCGCAGAAACCATGTTCCGCTTCCTCCTCCTCGCGCTGTGCCTCGCGCTCGCCGCCGCCTTCACCGCGCCGGCGTCTGCGCTTCGCGGCTCGCGGAGCAGCATTGTCATGTCTGGCCCCAACGCTCAGAAGCCTGGCAAGGCCGGCAACCCGCTGTGAGGTTGAATAGATGCTCCGACTCCGACAGGAACACCCGACAGCCGCAGCGGCAAAGGCGTCAAGCTTACGCGCACAACCTTCCGATCCAGGTGGGGCTACACCGTGGGCTCGCGTGCGCCCGACGCCGCCGTCTCCTCGGGCACCACCCAGTCGGAGGAGGCCGAGTGGAAGAAGACCTTCCTCGGCGGTCTGTTTGCCAAGAAGCCGGCGCCACCGCCCAAGACCAAGGGCTCCCGCATGAAGCGCCCCGGCACCATCTAGAGCAGCAACAGGCGCGGTGCATAGCAGATTAGGCACTAGAGATGCCCGCGCGAGCACGCTGCGCGTGCGGCTCTGGCCGGACCGGGGTGCCGGCTCCTCTCGGCAGCTTGAAGGCGGGCGCCCGCCCCGACACCGACCCGCCGCATCTGTGCACGTGTGCTCAGTGCTTGGTGCATTATTATAAAATCGTTTGGTAGATGGTAGCCCGAACACCCCGTTTGATAGATGTTAGCCCAAACACCACAATCGTCCTGAAAAAGCACGGCTCTCGTCGCTCAATGAAAAGCAGATGTCCGCGCGCAGCCCCATATCTCTTATCTGAAATTCCCCGCGCCGTTGCAAACCCCACACAACCCCGCAGCCCGCGCACAACCCCCCGCCGCACCCCCGGTATCTCGCCGACGACGTCCTCACGCGCCATGGGCCAAGCATGGGCCTTCCTCACCTCCGCCCTCGCCAGCCGCGCCTCCGCCCAAGGACCTAGGCCCCACACGGAGGCACCGCAGCCGGCCCGACGCCGTCCAGGGGCGCGGGGTCTGGCGCGATCGCAGTGGCCGCCGCCGCCACCTGCTGCTCCGCCACTTGCTCCTCCGCCACCTGCTGCTGCTGCTGCTCGGCCATTTGGGCCGCGAGCGACGTGGCGGGCGCCTCGCCGACTGCCGCGGCATATGCGGCCGCGGCGCTCTCCGCCGACTGAAACGCGCCGAGCGAGCGCAGCGCGCCGTCGCGCATCACCTTGGCGACAACCGTGAGAGGTGGAGGAGAGATGGGGAGAGGGGGGGGAGAGGGGGGGGGAGAGGGGGAGAGAGGGGGAGAGAGGGGGAGAGAGGGGGAGAGAGGGGGAGAGAGGGGGAGAGAGGGGGGGAGAGGGGGAGAGAGGGGGGGAGAGGGGGGGAGAGATGGAGCGCGTCACCTTGGCGACAAACGTCTTGCCGTGCTTATACACGCCGAGGAAGCCAGACTGGTACCTACGGCAGCCACAAGAAGCGGCGCTCCTCGCGGCCGTCCACGCGAGACGCGCCAGCGGAGCAAGAAGCGCACCGGTCGTCGCGAATCAGCCCGGCCGCCTCGCCATCGCCCTGGTCGCCGCCGCCGCCGCCCGCCGCCGCCGAGGCTTGCGAGGGCGACGGCGGGGGCAGCGCTTCGGCGGGGAGGAGGCCGTGGCCCACGAGGCGGCGCAGGATGAGGCGGTGGTACTGCGGCTCAACCTCGAAGCCGATGCAGTGGCGGCCGAGTCGCGCGGCGGCGACCACCTGGGGAGATATGGGGGAGATATGGGGGAGATATGCGGAGATATGCGGAGGAGGCGAGCACCTCGGAGCCGGAGCCGCCGAAGGGGACGAGGACGCAACCGCCGGCGTCGGAGTGCACCTTGACGATCCTCTCGCAGATCTGGAGCGGCTTCATCGACGGGTGGGCGCCGTACCGCCTCTCCTTTGAGCGCGAGTTCTCGCGCGGGATGTCCCACCAGTTCTTGGGCGGCCGGCCGCGCGCGAGCGACTCGGGCGTCACGCGGCCGACCTGTTCACAGCAGTAGGTGTGAAGAGACGCTGTTCACACCCTCCCTGCCGGGGCAGACACGCGGCCGACCCCCTTGGCGAGCGCCTCGTCGAACTCCTCGGGCGTGTAATGCTCGACCGCCTCGTGCGGGTTGAAGGTGTGCTGCCCGCCCGGCTTGGTGAACCACTCCTGCGTGTCCGGAGGGCCTGTGTGCTCGAGGGGAGACGGGGGACGGAGCGGAGACGGGGACCTGTGTTCCGCATCTCGAGGCGAGTTGCCAGTCGATCCAGCCGACGGCCCATCTCTCCCCATATCTCCCCCATATCTCGGCTATATCTCGGCTATATCTCGCCAAGTGCTCCATCCGGACCGAGTACGCCAGCATGCCCTTGAGGCGCGAGTCGCCGCCCTGCTTGTACACCCACGAGATGTGCTGCACGAAGGCGAGGCCTATTCACAGCAGCTGGAGTACGGCAGCTGTGAACAGAGGAGAGACGTGCTGCACGAAGGCGAGGCCGAGCTCGTCGGCGGCGAGGAGCTTGAGCCTGCAGAGCCACAGCTTGGCGGGCGAACCGTACAGGAACAGCGCGCCGCCGGGCCGCAGCACGCGCACGCACTCCCTGAGCCAGAGGCGCGACCAGCGCATGTAGTCGTCGAGCTGGTCCCACCCCTCGCCCTGCACGCCTATCAACCAGAAATACGGGCTGGGAAAAAGAAGTCACCGAGCTGGTCCCACCCCTCGCCCTGCACGCCGATGTTGTACGGTGGGTCCGCAATCACCAAGTCGACCGAGCCGCTCGCCAGCGCCGCCATCCCTGCGACGCAGTCACCCAGCGAGACGCGCGGCGCGACCGGCGGCGGCGGCGGTGCGCCCGCCGCCGCCGCCGCCGCCGCAGCAGCTGCCGCCGCCGCCGCCGCGCCTCCCTCGCTCTTCCTCTTGTTGTTGCGAGCAAAGCGGCAACCGCTTCCGCCGCCGAGCTCCTGGCGCTCGCGGCTCCACCCGCCGCCGCCGGCGGCGGCGGCAGCGCCGCCGCCCCCGCCGCCAGCAGCGCCGCCGCCCCCGCCGAGGCTGCTGTTGAGCGGGCAGTCGCGGTGGGTCGGCCGCTTGTGCGTCGTCGAGCCGCAGCGGCAGCGGCCCTGCTGCGCAACGCGCAGGAGCGGAGCCTCGTCGGCGACGGCGGTCGCGATCTTACTGCGCGCCGCCACCGCCGCAGCGCGGCCAGATCCGCGGCCGCCAGCGTCGCCCGCGGCCTCGGCCGCGTCAACATGCGGAGCCTCGCTCAGACAAGGTGCACCGTTGGCGGGAAAGCCGGCAGCACAGGGAGCGGAGAGGGCGGCCGGAGGTGGCGGCGGGAAGGGCGGCGGCGGGAAGGGCGGCGGCGGCGCCATGGCGCCATCTGCCAGGCTTAGCGCCTGGGCAAAGGCCATGGGCGTGCCAACGAGGCCAGGCGCAAAGGCCGGGATGGGCACCGCCGTCGCGATCGCTCCAATAGTCGTCGGAAGCGCCACGCCTGGCGTGGAGTAGCCGTTTGCGACGTCAAGGTCGCGTCGCGGCAGCTTCGCGTAGGGCTCGAGGAGCAGGTGCTCGGTGTGGAAGGGCTCCATCTGTGCCAGAGAAGCTACGGGCAACGGCCCTGCTCTCACACCCTTTTCGCGGGCCTTCCCTTTGAAAAGAATTCGGTCGCGATCACCCCTCACCCCCCCCGGCCCCCGTTCTCTCTAGCTCCCTCTCTAGCTCTTAGCATGAGCTGCGCCCTGTGTCCGACCTCTTTTGCGCAGCAACACCTTAAACTTTTAGGCCCTCCAAATCTAGCTCCAAATTCGTTCGGGTCGGAGCGTATAGGGAATAGGCTATAGCGGAGTGGGCCCCGAGTTTGAAAAAAGGGCTTGCGTCCTAGCCTCCAACAACGCCTCCCCGGCGCAGAGGGGCCCCCGGAGGGATGCTCAACTGCTCCACCGCCTTTGCTATTGAAAAGAATATTTTTTGTGGTTCCGCGCGCTCTCTGGTTCAGCGCGCTCTCTGGCCGTCCGGCCTCAATCTGCAACAACAATCTCTCTCTCTCAATCTGCCCAAAACCGGCGGCACGATGTCACTAGGTGTGAAGCTGTTATGGGGGGTGTTGTCTCGGCGCAAGGGCGGGCGGGGGCGGAGTGGGCACGACCGCGTCGAGACCGAGTCGGCAGGAAGGAGCCGATCGAGCGGCTGGGTCATGACGGCGGGTGCGGGGGGAATGAAGGAGCTTAGCCGGCTGCAAGGGCGGCGCTGGTCGTGAGCTAGGGGGCGGTACAAGCTAGATCGATCCGGGAAGAGAGGCACGGGGCAGATGGCAAGACGATCGCAGCTCAAAGGGTCTCGGGTTTGAAGAAGGGAAGAACTAGCTCGTTGAACATGAAGCGGCGGCAGCGCGCGTGGTATTTCGCGTCGCTCGAGGTTTTGATGACACACACACGCGCTCGAGCGTAAAACATATACAAAATGGTCCACACTAAAAATCGATGCACATGGAGGATCATGTAAGGGTCATTAAGGCTAGGGTCATGAGGCCGCATGAGACACCATGCTACATCTGGCACATGGGAAATGGCCAGATCGAAAACCTACATGTACAGGCTAGCCTACACATACCGACACGTCGATACTCCTAGACTCGATGTACCATAGTCGAACATACGACACCTCGGCAAAGGCACAGAGACAGGCAGACATACCTCTGTCATCTGCGCTCTTCTCTGTTTGCCACAGGCAGGCACATCGGAACTCCCTTATGGCAACCCATCGGCGCCATCGTCTTCCTCACACGGAGCGCAGACTGCTGCGTCACTCACCCGCAGGCAATCGATTTTCATGTGCCCCAGTTCGCCGCACTCGTTACACCTGATCTTTGGACACTGTCGCCGCAAGTGTGTGAGCTGCCCACACTCGAAGCAGCGCTTGCCGTATGGCCGGCAGTATTGCTGCTCCCATTCGGCGCGCGTGAAGGAGACCAGCCAGCTGTCCGCTTTTTCTAACCACCCAAGACAGCTTGGAGACCTCCCGGTAACGCTACATTTCGTAACGAAGGTCGCTATTGGCCACCTGCCTCCTTCATCTACAAATGTCGTCGGCACGGACGGAGCGGCGCCAAGCATTGAACGCTGTGCGTGCTGCCGGCGGCACTCCCAGGCCCCGAGCCAGAGCCCCGACCGTCTCTGGCGTTCCATGCGACTGGGACTACCTGCGAGGCGTGTGGGTTCGGCCGGATGGCGACGACTACGATGCGAGAGTGGCAAAGGCAGAGAGGGCGGAGGAGCTGCGGTGGCGGGCGATGCAGAGTGACGGTCGCCGTACACATAGCCCTCGCACGACTTCCACGCCGTCGGCTCGAAGAGCACGGCCTCGGTAAACCGAGCAGGCTCATTGAGCGTGGCGCCCGCATTGCTGGCTCTCATTGAGCAGCAGTTCAGATGCGGGCGCATCCCGTCACAGCATTCGCCCAGACCCGGTACGCACATGCTCAGCCCGTCCCTCGCTCACTGGCAGGCGACCCACACCTCGCGTGGGCACACGAAAATGGCCTCGTGGGTCGAGAGCGTATCAATCGGTCAGATGAGGCTGGAGACTTCACCGGGCTGACTCGGCCGACTCGGAATCTCTTCCAGACCGCGAGGGCGTACCGTGAATGGGCTCGTGAGCTGTCTGAGACGGATGCCACATGGGAGGCCTTTCAGAGGATGCGGCTGGCGAGGCGGCTCGCTCGCCACCGTGCGTTGCACGCTGGGCAGCGCGACCACCACGTCGAGGGCGCAGGCCGGCTGCTGCCGTGCGAGACGACGGCGTTGGATTCGTCGCGCGTGCAGCCAGCCATGCGTGAAAGCCTGCCATTGCTGGATCGGATGCCGGCCCTCGCACGCCGCACGCCGCTGACACCGACGCTCGCGGTCTTTGAGACGTTTACAATGGAGAAGGAGCCGCGCCAGTACCGCGACTCCTCCTCAGGCCAGATGAGGACGCGTGAGTATAACGTGCGCTCGTGGGCAGCCGCTCCCACCACCGTCGGTGCGGCTCGCGTCCCACGATGCCCGTCGGAGGCTGAGGGTGTGCAGTACCGCCGGCTGTGCCTGCAGAACGCCACGTGCTTCAACAACCTAGAGGCCGCGCATCCGATCAACTTTTTCGAGCAGCGCGATGTGTGCATGAACTGCGGCGCGGAACGCTTCACCGTCACGAACCCGTCGATTTGCTGCCAGAATGGCAGCCTAGTGCTCGACCGGCAGCTGCCCAACGAGCTGCTCTCGCTCATCAGCGAGGCGCCAGGGTTTTCGAAGCAATCGCGCGCAGGGAACGACCTCTTTCGTTTCGCGCAGATGGCGCTGCCAAAAGGCGCGCCCATTGCACGCCGCCGCCGTGCGCACCCCGACGCGCGAGACTCATCCCCCGCGTCCACCAACCCGCAGGCACGCATCGCTTCCCCGACTCTTATCAGCACCTCAAGGTTACGGGCATGCCGTTCGCCATCATCAGCAACATCAACGAGCGTAGCTCCACTCGCTCGTTTCTCGACGACCCGAATGAGCGCCTGGACGACTGCATGCGCTACTCCGCTGCTCTGCGACCCAGCCCCGCTGCGCTTGCCACGATTGACGCCGTGATGCGCAGGGAGAACGCACTCGTGCCACGGCTCATCAACTGGGCGGAGGAGAGCACCAGCAACGCGCGGCTGGTGCTCAAGTGGCCGGGCGCCACCAGCTCGGTGCGAGCTTTCACCGTCGAGCCGGCGACGAGCGTGCGTCAGCCGCGCACCATCTTCTTCACGCGGCGCGACGAGGACGAGCCGTGCTACGTGGATTCGTTCGACCCGATGTACGCGGCGCTCATGTGGCCGCTCGTCTGCCCAGACGGCGCTCCGCCGCGGCTAAAGGGGCTCGTCGATTCGGCGGGAACAGTACTGCGGCCAGCCGGTGCGCTCCTCGACAAAGAGGCGAAGAATCTCAGACAGGCGACTCTCGCGCTGATGCTACAGCCGGAGCGCACTTCCGACGGCGCCTTCCTCCTTGTGCCCTGCCAGTCCCCGTACGGCCCTTCTACGGACAAGCATACGTGGCCATCTCGCGCGTGCACACCGCCGACGAGCTCGCTCTCTTTGTCGACGACAATTCCTCTCTCTTGCAGCCTGACAGCACGCGTGTGGGGGTGCTTGCGTGCGTCACTTACCCTGAGCTCCTGCGCGACCCAGCGGCCACTCGCGCGGAGCAGCGACGCGACCGCGACTGCACTGGCCGCTCGGTCACGGGACCATCTTCATCTATCACGCCGTACGCTCCCACCACGCTACCGCCCGCTGAAACGCCGCCGCCGCGACACCGCCGCATGCGCCTGGCCGACCTTGTCGAACGCCTCGACGACACGGGGTCGGCGGTGGCGAAGAGGATGCGCGCTACGTGAGAGACGAGAAGAGAGCGATTTCTTTGTTTGGTCTTTTATACTACATCGGTTGATATGTTTCCTTAGCATCTCGCAGTGAATACACATGTACCTGTGACCTTCTTATGTGACCTTCTTACGCATCTCCCAAATTGATTTATTTTATTCTTGGAATGTAACGATCTTGGGCTGGCACAACTCTTATTGGTCCGTCCGGCGCGCGTTCCTCTCTGCTCAGGGTTCTGACTTCAATCGCCCAATGCCATCAAAGGCCCCACGTGCCAGTGCCAAGCCGCGTCGGCGGCCCGCCGTCGAGTCCGATGGGGAGGACGGCGCTGTTGTGATCGGTGTCGTGAGCCCGGGCCCCGTGCCTCCACCCTCGAGCGAGAAGAAGAAGGGCAAGGCGAAGAAGACGCTGGCCGACTTCGATGGCTTCAGCGACCTGCCGTCGTCCGCGACCACCGTCACTGGCGGCACGGGCAAGAAGAAGGGCAAGCCGATCGAGGCGAGGCTCCACCTGGCCGTCCACCAGAAGAACGATAAGAACAAGGGCAAGCTCACCGGCCGCGTCTTCTACCTCATCAACCCGGTGTATGACGAGAACGAGGCGTACCAGCGGCTCATGTACAAGATGTTCAACCAGAACCCGCGCTACTTCAAGGACCTCGGCCTGTGGGCGGTCCGCGCGCCGAGCAAGCAACTGGCGAAGAAGATGCACGCCGCCGTCCTCGCCGCCCCTGGTCTCCGCGAGACGGCGAAGCGGCTCAACCCCGAGCTCGACGTCTCGCCCATGGACAACCCAGCCGTCAAGCCACTCGAGTTCACGCTCGCCAAGTCGGCCACGCAGTTTGAGACGAAAAAGAAGGGCCTGCTCCCGCCCTCGCACGTCATGATGGGCAAGAACACCTACGACGTCAAGGACTACGTCAAGACCCACTTCGACAACGTCGAGTACGCGGACCTCCTCTTCCCCGGCCCGCACGGCCCGAAGAGCATCACCAAGACAGCCTGGGTGGTTCCCATCGCCTCCCAAACCGCCTCGACTGGCACCCTCGCCGACTTCCTCCGCACGCTCGGCGCGACGGTCACCGAGGTGGATCTCGACGCGGAGGACGGAGACAGCGACGAGGAGGACGAGCGGGACGGCAACGCGCTCGTCGACGACGAGGCTGAGGAGGAGGACGAGGAGGAGTAGGATTCGGCGTGGCGCGTCTACTTCCTGCGAGACGAGAGCGGTCGGAGGACTTACGTCGGCGCGAGCCCCGACCCCGTCCGACGACTGCGCCAGCACAACGGCGAGCTCTCGGGAGGTGGCGCGCCCGCCGCGGGACGGCCGTGGCGCATTCTGCTCGTTGTGCGTGGCTTCTCCTCGAAGAGCGATGCGCTCGCTTTCGAGTGGGCGTGGCAGAAGCCGCACACGAGCCGGCACATTGCGCGACAGTGGGGTGTGAAGGGATTCGGGAAGTGCGGCACGCGGTCAAAAGTGTCGGTGCGGTTGGCGGCGCTCGCGCTGTTGCTCGTGCACGGCCATTGGGCCGCGTGCGCGCTGCATGTCCGTGTGTGTGTGCTCCCGAGGAGTGTGGAGAGGCATTGCCTCTCATCCGGCGCGCCGCCGCGGGACTCACGTGCGGACCGCCGTGAAGCGAGTTCTTTGACTAATATCACATGTTGGGAGACTGATGGGTCAAAAGCATAGATCGTCAATCGACGCGTCGCGCCGTTGCCGATCCGCACACCGAGGTTCTTGGGTGGCGCGCCCCAGCTCTTCACAACGAACCTGGTATTCTTGCGTCCCGCGAAGCCACAGCTGCACCCATGGGTATGCCTGAGCGTACCACGGAAGTCCACGTGGTCGCCGCTGCCTGCGAACTCGCCCCAGGTGCCCGTCGCCTTGTACTCCTCGAAGGCGCGGCCGCCACCAGCACAGAGCTCGCCGCGTACAAAGCTGCGGTAGGTAAAGGTGAAGTCAGGGCGGAGGACGAACTCGCCGCGACCTGCGAACTCGCGCCGCTCGTCAGCGGCGGGCTCAAGCACTCCCTCCTTAACTTGTCGATGCCACTTGCCGCAGAAGGACCGCATGTAGGGCTTCATGGCCTCCATGCGGTCACGAGCACAATTCTTCAAGTGACGCAGAAAGTAGTTGTCATGCTGGTCTGGCACATCATCCACACACCAGACAACTAGGGAAGCGCATGCCACAGTGGGACGCTAAGCTACCCCCCGTACCTATACGAGACATACCGTAATACGACAAGTGGGGGTTTGCTAGCCGCAAACCGCCCGCTCCGCGGGCATTTTGAAACTGTTCGTAGCACCAGGCCACCGCAGAGCATTGGCCACTGTACACGACGCATCACACTGATGACATCTGGCATCATACAATTTTCATACATGACATCTTCTCTACATCTGTCATCTCTCCATCTCCACACGGACACGCACGGCACGAATCTCAGAGAGTAATGTAGTGCCATGCATGCCACCGAAGGTAGTTGGCGGCATGCCGGCACGCGGCAGCGCGAAGATGGCGGCGGCGAGGGTGGTATAGCGAGGGTGGCACCGGCGGGGCAGAAGTTCACTGAGTCTATTCCCCCACTGGCAACGGCGAGGGTGGCGACGGGAGGATGGCGGCGGTGAGAGTGGCGGTGGCGAGGGTGGCTCTGTAGAGCGCTGCCAAGTATCGGGACACACCAACCAACCAACCCAAAACCACACACTCAGAGCGGAGTCATCTTGCGGCTACCGGTAGAGCCCCTGAGCTGCTCGCGCTGCATCCTTTCACGGGAAGCGTCTTGGGCAGGGCGAGAGCGACCTCGCTGATCTCGGCCTCGCTGATCTCGCTGCGACCTGTCTCGGTCATCGACGCGAAGCCGACTGCGAAGCTTCTCTTTGGCTAAAGCTTAAAGCAGCAACATAGTCACCCTCACTTTTGAATTGTTGAGGCGCCAGCTTGTGTGGAATGTCCGGTACGTGGATCTCGGGCAATTGGTAATACCCTGGCGCAGCACACACGATTGGCTCGTGACAGCACGTCGCCCAATGTCTACTTGCAAGGCTAGCTGCTCACACCTTGTGTGCCATGGGCCGTGCACGCGGCGCACCTTGCTGCTCAAGGATGCGGAATGCGGATCGTGCGGTGGGTGTGACAATGTTTCGTTCGGAGAACACTGTAAAGCGTTTTAAAAGATAGACGACGCATCGCGCACTTACGATTACTTTCACTTAGTCGGTTCTGTCGCTTAGTTGACAGTCACGTGCCACCGCGGGCGAGCAGCGTGTCACGAGTTTCATGGTCTTGCATCGATTTGCCCCCCAGCCAGGCTGTATGTATTCTAGATAGTTTCTATGAGCTCCGAACCGCCGAAGTGCCCCAAACCGCCCCTTTGGCCGCCTCCGCCCTGCACAGCCTCGATAACCAACTCGCTTACTAACGCACGACCGGCTCTTCCACACGGCTCGCATCCCCCCCACCCGACCTCGGCTCAGCATCCGGTCGCGCGTGCGCCTTCCCTCCCGCGCCCTCCTCCCCGCTCCCGAACCGGCTCACCGTTTTCGCATACAAGCCTATTCTATCTGTAACCTATGTTGCCGCTACCCCTAGGAACCCAAGATATGCCTCACATGGGATGTTATTTATAACAGCCTCAGGTCCTGGGACAGACAAGCACCATCACGCCTAGCATCACGTAGCACCAGCTGAGATCCATCGCCTCAACCATCACACGCGCCACCGGCGCGGTGGCGAAGCCAAAAACACCGGAGTGATGTGCACGCCCACGCAGGGTGTGTGGCAGCCAGCTGGCTGTGTGTCTACTCTTGTGAGCCTGTTTTGTGTCTGTGTGTCGCTCGTGCGTGTCGTCATCTTCATCTGTCCCGCGTCCACCCACATACCGCGTTGGTGTCCAGTCCGAGCCTGACTGTTCTTCACCTTCCTACCTGACCTAACCTAACCGGCAGTGGCCGTCCGCTGGCGTGAGCGGCGGCGGTCGAGACCTCACCCTTCGCGCCGACAACCCAACCTCACTCGGAACAACCCCACCCAAAACAACACAACCCAACGCCCCCAACCCCACCCAAAAAGCACGATTCTGAAGTTGAGCCCTCGGTGCTCGGAAAGCCGAGGGAGTTTTCGTAAAATCATTTTTCTGCTTGCCGCTGGGCCTGGGGTCGTTGTACCAGCACAAGTTATAAAATTTCGTTCCACGCGTCTCGAAATTCTTGTTATGTCTCGAAATTCTTTTGTTCGAGCGTAAAAGAATTTTACAACAGCGTAAAAGAAAGAAAGAAAACGGACAACCCAAGGGAGGGATGGGAGGACGGCACGCCGCCACCACACAGGGATTTTAAGGAGAGGAGTGTGGTGCGCTAGCCGTCGCCCACCCTTGGGCGTCCGCCTCTTCCTATCTCTCTTCGCAGTCTCTCGCCGATTCTCGCTGCAACCTTCATGCCACCTCGCGGTCGTCCCACTCTCGTCGTTCTTTCCCTTGTCGCTTCTTCTTCTGTCGCGTCGCTCTCCTCTGCCTCGTTCTGCGACGCCGCCGCCGCCTGCCGGTCCCTTGTTCTCGCTGCTTCTTGCGCCTTTCGGCGCAGCTCCGTCCTCCTCGCTGCATATCCTGGCCCCTCGAGTCTATCGAGCTCTCCTCGAGCAAGGACGAGTCTTGTGACGCCCACTGCGATCATTTGCCACCAGTCATGTCGTTGCTCAGGTCCACTCTCTCTTTATAAAATAAATAAATAAATACAACGGACATCCCAAGCTAGGGCTGGGTCGAGGACAGACACGTCCCCACCTTTGCAGGATTTTGCAAAAGCGAGGGGGGAGGGCGCATCGCCGCGCGGAGAGGGCTGGGCACAGGGCACAGGGGATCTCTCTCGCATAGGATATGCACTCGGCGGCACGAGGGCAAGGCTGGGCGTCCTATTTGTGCTCCCCCCCGGACCCCTCGCTCTCGGGCACTAACCATCTGACCACTCATCGACGGGGCTTGGCGAGCGGCCGCGCTGCGGGGTAGGGCTGGTGAGAATGGGCTCTGGCCACTCGCCCGTGCGGTTGTAACCCCGCATCTGTCGGACAGAGGCCTCGACCGCCCCTCGCGGCAAGCTCTCGAGCATCTCGAGCAGCTCGCCCGCCGCCATCGCCGCCTCGAACTGCTCCCTCATGCCGAGCGCGCCGCATACCCTGCGGACCGCCTCCTGCTGCACCTCGTCCGGCGTATCGGTTTCATAGCCGGACGAGTCAGCGGAGGCGGCCCGCTTGGCGGGCGGAGAGTCGGGCGACGGCGAGCGCGACTGGCGCGAGGGCCCGCTGCCGCGCGCGGACAGCGCGTTCTTGTCAACGAGACGGGGTCCAGCATCGGCACGGCCCCTGGCACCGCGGCCCTTGCCGCGCTGCTGCTGCCCACGCTTCCTGCCCGGGTTAGGGACAGTGAAGGAGCAGCCGCTCACTCCGCCGCCGCTGGGCGGCGGCGGCACGCGCGCGGCGGCGGCCGGGCCCGCAGGCGCGGCGGGCTGGCCACCCGCGGTGGCACCCTGCGGCTGCGATGCGGCTGCGGCGGCGTACGTCTTGGGCGCCGGCTCCGCGGCTGGCGGCGCTGCGGCAGGGGCGGGCGGCGCCGCAGGGCTCGCGCTCGCAGGCGGCTCCGTGGCCTGCGCCTGCCGCTCGTGGCGTACAGCGCGCTCAGCTGCGAGTGCGGGTGCAGCTGTACGATGACGTCGCCGCTCTGCGTCGCGGTGAAGGAGACCGAGTACGGCGCTTCGCCGTCGTTCTTCTTCTCCGCGTAGACGAGCGCGTAGTCGCACACCTGTCGTTGGTGGTCAGTGAAGATGGTCTCTGTGCAGCGCTCGGCGGAGCCGACGCGAGAGAAGTGCCGCCTGAACGCCATGCGTTCAGGCGCTTGTTCGAGCGTGGTGTTGCCCGCAGAATTCTTTTGTTCGGCCCGCTCGCTTGTGTAAAGCTGGCGTTCTGTGGTGTGTGTATATGCTGCTCGCGGCCACGGTCCTCTCCCTGGCCACCTCGCCGCGGCCGGCGCGCCGCGTGCCACAGAGACGCTTCGTCGTGCAGGGCGGTGCCTTCGTGGTCGCCGCCGCCGCCGCGCCTCGAGCTGCCGTGGGCTGGTGTGGCGAGGCGGTGCCTTCGTGGGCCTTCTTCGTCAAGTGGGACGACGGGCGGGTGCCGTTCGAGTGGGAGGGTGCCAAGGGCGAGGCGTACTGCCGCGTCGTCGGCGACCGCGCCCGCGAAGCCAAGGCGGGCGTCCCTCCAATCCTGCTCGTCGGCACTCCCGGACTCGGATACGACTACCTCGAGAACCTCGAGGCGTTGACGGTGTCGGACCGGCGCGTGGTCGAGGTGGTGTTTGCCGGCACGAACGGCGCCGCGTCGGCGCCGCTGCTCACCGCGGACGCCTGCGCCGCTCAGCTGGGCGCCGTCGTGCGGTCGCTCGGCGTGCAGAAGGCGGACACTTGCCAGACGTTGCCCAGACACTTCCTAGAGAGCGTGTCTCGGCGTGCAGCAGGCGGCTGGCGCTACGCGGAGACTTCCTGGACGCTGCCTAGACACGCTTTCTGGGCACGACCTTCCGACACTCTCTAGACACTTTCTAGACAGACTCTCTCTCTCCACGACACGTCCACGACACGTCCACGACACGGCCACGACACGGCCACGGCAGGTGTCGCTGGTGGCGCACGGGCTTGGAGCGGTGCCCGCGCTGCGGATGCTCGAGCGGCAGCCCACCCTCGTCTCCTCCCTCTCGCTGCTCTCGCCCTACGGCAGCCTCGCCGACTCGAGGCCGGCGAGGAAGTGCCTAGGAAGTGTCGAGGAAGTGTCAAGGAAGTGTCTCTAGGCAGCCTTGCCGACTTGAGGCCGGCGGCCGCCGACGCGGTGCGCTCCCATCTTCGCCGCCACCCTCTCTGTCGCCCTCGCTTCGGCCACCCTCTCCGTCACCGCCGTCGCCGCCGCCGCTGCCGCCGCCGCCGCCACCACCGCCACCGGCGGCACTCCCTTCGCCCTTGCCACCACCCTCTCCACCGCCTTCGCCGCCTACTAGGTGCGGGCCGTGTCCAGCCGAGGCGGCGGCGCCGCGGCGGCGCTGCTCCCGACCACAAGCCGCAGCGCGTCCGCGTCGTGCGTCTCGGAGGCGGCGGCGGCGGCGGCAGACGGCGTGCTGCTGCCGCCGCTCCTCGATCGGAACGGCGACGGGGACAGCGACCGGTTCGGCGGCCTAGAAGCGGAATACCTACACGGGCTCTTGTGCTCCAGCCAGCGCTCGAGAGGACACGGACTGTACTCGACCGTGATTTGCACTCGTAGCCCGCGTGTCACGCGGAGCTCCGAGTACGCGGCACGAGACCGTACTCCCGCCCTGAGGCTGGCGTCGTCTCAACCACACCCTGGCTCTGGCGTCTTCGTAGGCTTGGCGGCGCGCAGCTCGGCCGGCGCCTCTAGAGGGCAGGAAGACAGACCCCGTGCATGCTTCGGACAAGGAGAGAGGACACGTACTCCGCCGGATTCCGCCGTGCTGCCGCCGTGCTGCCGCCGTGCTGCCGCTGCACTCTCTGTGTTCTCTCTCCCCAAATCTCCCCATATCTCCCCATATCTCCCCATATCTCCCCATATCTCTCTGTGTTCTCGCTCGCGCGTTGCGCCGAAGGGCACGGGCGCGACACACACCGTCCTCACACCCCAACCCCGCTATGTGCATGGCGCAGGCCGGCACCTCGAGGGCGTGCGGGTGCCGACGCTGCTCGCGAGCTTAGATGCGGAAGAAGCTCTCTCCACATCTCCCCACATCTCCCCACATCTCCCCACATCTCCCCACATCTCGAGGCCCTAGCGGAGCGCGGATCGCACATCTCCCGACATCTCCCCACATCTCGAGGCCCTAGATGCGGGGCGCACAAGACTGCTGTCTTCCGACCACCACTCGAGAGGACGCGCATCGAACGGCCGTCGGCAGCGGGATCCGTTGCACTCGCCCCTATGACTCTGACGCGATGCCACAAGTGCACGGCACACGCACACGGCGCACACGTAGAAGTCGCGTCTTCACGCTGTGTTAGGCTCGCGAGCGGCGGCGAGGCAGACATCGTCGACCGGTGCGTCAATGTATGCAACTGCAGAAGACGGGGCCGCATGTCAAGTGCTAGTTGCTATAAGAAGGAGACTGCGGTTGCATCGGCGAGGGACGAAGTTGCAGATTCTAAGGCTGGGATGGGTGATGGAGTATGGGATACCATTTCTAGGTCGTGGGAGGGGCTGCCCTCGTCGGTGAAGCGGCTCACCTTCGGCGCGAGCGGGCTCCGGACTGCGCGCCGAGAAAAAGAATTAAGGCGGCACGGCGCGATTTCTTTTTTTAGGCGCGAGCGGGCACCTGCCCTTTGTCGAGCAGAAGGAGGAGTTCCTCACGCAGCTGGTCGATTTTCTCGACGCCGCAGACGGCGCCGCCACAGCCGCGCGCCCACGCCCCCGAGCTCCGCTCCTAAAAATCCACCACCTTAAGAGCAAATGCCGCCCTCCTAACCTCCCCCCATAAACCCCACCCACCCCACTTCCCCATCACCCCAGCACCCCCCCCCCCCCCCATTCCCCCCCCTCCCCCCAGGCGTCGCCACCAACCGCGAGCTCAAGTTTGCCGACCTGCAGTCGACCCTGCGCGAGGCGACGTCTGCCGAGAGCCCGCTCCGCAGCGCGGGGGCGGAGAGGGACTGCTCGGCCTACAAGACCGAGGCGGCTCGCAAATACTGCCAGACTAGCACCAGGTCGTGAGCGGGCGCTCGACGGTGTCGCATGCCCGGCGGTGCTGTTGCACTGTGCGCCAGCTCCCCCTACAAAGCCGTATCGCCCTGCCCCCTGCGCTGGTGAGCTGTCGTGTGGTGTCTCGGTCTCAAACCTCGATCTCGTGCCGAGAGTCGTGGAGCTGGAGAGGGGTGTGGACCACACACGCAACTCCCTATAGCTAGGCGGCTTGTCAGTCAGTCTCTCGTACTCTCCGAGAGTACACATTACTCGTTAGTACGAGGTCGCGCGTGTCGGATAAAAAAGGAGCCACCAGATGTGCAAAAAGAAACTCTCTGCACGCTCTGAGTCTGCCGACAGGAGTTTGAAATACTCAAAAGGCGCGCCCTTTCGGGGAGAAATGAACTGACCACGCTACGCTCTACGCTGCGGAGAGCGGAGCCCCCCCGCCGCTGGCTACCTCGGCCGTCCCGCAGCCTGCTCCCCCCGCTCTAGCGTCCGCAGCAACGCCTCGACCTCCTCGCCCTCCTCCGCCGCCTCGTCGTCGGAGTAGCTCGCCGCGAGCAGCGCGAGGGCGAGCGGCGACTCCTGAGGTGAGATGTGGGGAGATGTGGGGAGATGTGGGGAGATGTGGGGGAGATATGCGAGGGCGAGCGGCGACTCCTGAGGTGAGATGTGGTGAGATGTGGGGAGATGTGGGGAGATGTGGGGGAGATATGCGAGGGCGAGCGGCGACTCCTGAGGTGAGATGTGGGGAGATGTGGGGAGATGTGGGGAGATGTGGGGGAGATATGCGAGGGCGAGCGGCGACTCCTGAGGTGAGATGTGGGGAGATGTGGGGAGATGTGGGGAGATGTGGGGGAGATATGCGAGGGCGAGCGGCGACTCCTGAGGTGGTGAGGCGCGGGTCAGGTGAGGCGAAGGTAAGGTGAGGCGCGGGTCAGGTAAACAGGTAAGCGGTGCGTGCGTGCGTGCGTGCGTGCGTCGGGCGCTGCTCTTCTTGCAGTTAGTGTGCGTGACTCCTCGAGATCCGACACTCCCGGCGAATCTCGGGGGGTCGTCTCGCCTTGATCGGCAGCAAGCTCGCGCCGTCAAACTGCAGGTACTTGTACTCCTTGCCTTCGCCGCCGCCGGACAAGTCGCACCGCCCCGTGATCTCGAGCTTCGCGTCAAAGACGAGCGACTGCAGGACCGAGTCCACGTCGGAGAGCGAGAGCGGCTTGCCTACGCAGGCGCAACCCCGGCCTGGTCTCGGGCTGGTCTGGCGCCACCTGCGGCATCTCTCGGGCGCCGCTTGCCTCGGATGAGCCCCGAGGAGGTGATGAAGTCGCGCACCTGCGTGTACCACACCTCCAGAGTGATACCACACCTCCAGAGTACCGAACCCAGTGTGGGTTCAGTCCCGTGGGTGGTGTGGTAGGGTGGCGACGTCGCGCACCTGCTGCGCCGTGGCGGTGAGGGTGGCCGAGCGAGCGATGTACTCGAGCGACGCCTGCGGCGGTGGCGAGGGCGGCGGTGGCGAGGGCGGCGGTGGCGAGGGTGGCGGGTATGGGGCGGTAAGTTCTCGCGGCGCCTGCTGCAGCACTTGGATCAGCGCGTGATCGAACTCTTGGTCGTCGGTGTACCACGCGCCGCCCGTGACCGCCACGCTCGGCTCGAGGCCCGCGAGCATGTACAACTTCTGGTTCTTGGCGGCGACCGACTTCACGGATCGTATCAACCCGCGGCTCTCGAGCGTGCGTAGCACTTTGGCCACCTGCTGCTGCTGCAGGTTGGAGCGCACGCGCAGGTCCTTTGACTTTATGCCGGCGTTGCCCGCGCGCTCAATCTCCTGGTACAGCAGCCGGTCCTCTGCAGTGAGCCCGTCGAGCGTGCGCGCGCGCTTGGCGGACTGGTCCGACTGCAGACGGAACACGAGCCCGCCCGCCGCCGTCTTGCTGATGGCGACGCGCTTGATGGCGAGCAGCGAGTTGAGCGCGGCCATCAGCGCCCCCTTGGGCGCCGTGCCAGACATGCGCTCCTCGAGCGCCTCCTTGGTGGCGCTACCGTCTAGCTCCTCAAAGAGACGCACAAGCTTCTCCTGCAGCGCTCCTCCATCCGAGCTGCTGGAGCTCGCCGCGGAAGCCGCGGCGGCACGCTTCGGTGCCATGACAGTGAAGCCTCTCGATGGGTTAGGTTTGGCCGCCGAGCCGCTCGACGTGGGAGGAGCGCGTGGCAGGAACTGCTCGCGGTTCGCGTCGATCGCAAGAAAAAAAGAAAGACTGCAGGCCACACGTTGTGCATCCCTTCGGGGGCCCCTCCTCGCCGGGGAAAAGTGTGCCGGCGGTTCACGAAGCGTTCAGCAGCCTCATGATACAGCACACAGCCGTGCTGCATTACCATCTCGGCGACGGCTTTGAGCCCCACCAGCTTGCTCAGATCCTGACAACAAAGTGTTAGATTTGTTTGGTATGCTAAAAATCTCTCAGATCCTGTTCGGCTGTTCGTCGCCGCACAACACAAAGGTCAACCAACTTGGACGGCTGGCGTTCGAGATCTTGCCGAGCAGTCTGAGCGACGGCTATGTTGATTCGCGCGACATTGAGGCGCTCCGCAACCAGAAGGGTGTCGGCGAGTGGAGTGTGGAGCAGCTGCAGCAGCTCTGCGACACGGGCGCCTGTTCCTACCTCATGGCGCTGCGGGCTCGGCGGCGGCAGTAGAGGGAGGGGCCGAGGGACCATACCCCCCCACCCCTGTCGAGGGCTAGCCTTGGGCGGTCAGGACCATACCCCCCCACCCTTCGGGCCTTGCCTCACCATACCATACCCCGGAAAAATTTGGAACCCTGCTTGCTGGGGAGTCCACAATTCACGATGTCCACAATTCTTCGTGGTGTACCTGTGTTAGTGCCAGTGCGCGCCAGTCCCGTTCCCATAAATAAATAAATACAACGGACATCCCAAGCTAGGGCTGTCCCGTTCCCAATAAATAAATAAATAAAACGGGCACGCCAAACGAGGGGTGGGAGAGGGACAGGGTCCCCACCTGCACGAGCAGGATCTTGGAAGGACGATCAGGGACACAGGGGAACGGGAGCGGGGAGCGCATCGCGACACGGAGGGGGGCTGGGCAGGGTTCACCCACACGACAGGGTCCCAGGGATTCCTCTCTCGTATAGGACAGGTTGCACCCGGCGGCACGGGGGCAGGCGCGGGCCTCCTACTGGTTGCGCTCTCCTAGTTCTCCTGCTCCTGACAAGGGACAGCGACAGGCTCGCAGCACGGTGGACTCCCTATTCCACTGGCGATCTCTCTCGACTAGCGACCTTCCTCCGGCTTCTCACGTTCCCAGTGTTGTGCGAGGGAAAGATAAAGATTCTTTTCTTCACGATGTCCACCCCGCCGCGCCGCTGCTTGCGCCGCCTCGCCTCCGCCTCCACCGCCGCGCCCTCGCCAGACGCGCCGCCGCCCGCCCGGCTCCTCGACCTCCCCAGGGAGCTCCTCGAGCGCGTCCTCTCCCGCTTCAACAGCCCCATCAACATCGCTCGCGTCGCGGCCGTCTCGCGTCTCTTTCACGCCTCGCTCGCGGCGGAGGGCATCCGCTTGTGGGCGCAAGAGCGCGGCTTCGAGCTGCCGGCGCAGCCGGAGGACGAGAACTGCACCGTGCGGTGGCTGTGCTTCGCGGCGCTACTTCGCGAGGCCCACCCGCCGGCGAGGGCGGCGGCAGGCTCCTTCCACAGCGTCTTCATCGACGGCGAGGGGCGGCTCTCGTCGTGCGGCAAGGCTGAGAGTTGGCGGCCAGGCCTCCTTGGCCACGGCGAGGGGGTGACGCGGCTCAACACGCCGACCCGCCTCCCCTCCCCGCTGGGTGGCGAGCGCGCCGTGAGCGTGTCGGCTGGAGTCCACCACAGCCTGGCCCTCGCCGCCGACGGCAGCATCTGGAGCTGGGGCGGTGGAGCCTCAGGCCAGCTGGGTCACGGTGACGTGCAGGAGCAGACGCTGCCCAAGAAGGTCGAGGCCTTTGCTGGCCAGCGCGTCGTCGCTGTATCGGCAGGAGGCAGCCACAGCCTCGCCCTCACAGCCGCTGGCGCCCTCTGGAGCTGGGGCGGTGGAGCCTCAGGCCAGCTGGGCCACGGCAACCAGCTGCTGCCCAAGAAGGTCGAGGCCTTCGCCGGACAGCGCGTCGTCGCTGTATCGGCAGGAGGCAGCCACAGCCTCGCCATCACCGCCGACGGCAGCGTCTGGAGCTGGGGCTTTGGAGCCCGTGGCCGGTTGGGCCTCGGCGACGAGCAGATCCAGCTGCTGCCCAAGAAGGTCGAGGCCTTCGCTGGGCGGCGCGTCGTCGCCGTGTCGGCTGGACGCAGCCACAGCCTCTCCATCACCGCCGACGGCGCCGTCTGGAGCTGGGGCGATGGCTCCTCTGGCAAGTTGGGCCACGGCAACGAGCAGCACCAGCACCAGCCCAAGAAGGTCGAGGCCTTTGCTGACCAGCGCGTCGTCGCTGTGTCGGCTGGATGCGTCCACAGCCTCGCCCTCACCGCCGACGGCAGCGTCTGGAGCTGGGGCTGTGGAGGGGATGGCCAGCTGGGCCACGGCGACGAGCAGAGCCAGCTGCTGCCCAAGAAGGTCGAGGCCTTTGCTGGCCATCGCGTCGTCGCTGTCTCGGCTGGAGACTTCCACAGCCTCACCGCCGGCGGCCATGTCTGGAGCTGGGGCTCTAGTGTGTACGGCCAGTTGGGCCACGGCGACCAGCAGCACGAGCTGCTGCCAAAGAAGATGGACGTGTGGGCAAGCCAGCCGAGCACGCCCTTCTCCTCTGACGGGGAGGGCAGCGACGAGGACAGCGACGAGGGGAGCGACGAGGGGAGCGGCGAGGGCAGCAACGACGAGGACAGCGACGACGAGGGCAGCGAGGAGGCCAGCGAGGAGGAGAGCGGCGAGGAGGACGACGAGGAGAGCGGCGAGGAGGAGAGCGGCGGCGAGGAGAGCGGCGGCGAGGAGGGCGGGGACAGTGGCGACGACAGCGAGGTCAGCGATGCGGGCCACGGTTGCGGACGTGGCGGGAAGGGCGGCACCGGTTTCTTCGGGAACGGCAAGGGATCGCCCGGCGGCAAAGGCAAGGGCGGCAAGGGCAGCAAGGGCGGGAAGGGTAAGGTTGACGGCAAGGGCAAGGGCAAGGGGAAGGGAAGAGGGAAAGGGAAGGGAAAGGGCGGCTACTGAGCGCCCCGTCGCTGAAACGCATCACGGTTGGCATGTGGCGTTGGGCTACCGCGCGCATTACATTCCATGTTAGTAGAACATGTTTCCCTCTCTTTGAGACACACAAGAATTGAGAGTACTTGAGTAGTCGTTACCGAGGATGGTGTGGACAAACCAGATCCCACACAGCACACTATGTTATATCATAGGACATAACATACTGAGATACCAGGCTCTTCCCTGGCATATCAGCTATCAAGAAACCGTCTGACTTCTAGGAGGAGGAGCTCTGTATTCTGCTTTTTCGACACATCCCACAGATCACACATCCGGGCCATGGGAATATCGGTCCAGACGCTCTGTCTGGGTTCTGGTTTTTCGAGGTGTGAACGATCTCCCGGAGGGGTCATTCCGCCGGAATGACCCCTCATTAACTAATCGGATTCCGAATGGGTCGAACGGGAGTACTGTGACGGCGGAGTTGACGTCTCCGTCGGTCCTAGCGGCGTGGCTGAGGGCGGCGGTGGAGGCGCCCGAGGGCGCGGCGTGGCTGGTTGGGGGCGGGGTGGAGTGCCCAGGAGCGTGCCCTGGGATTTCTCCGCCCAGTCCGGGGCTGCGTCGAACCTTCCATCACCCTGGGGAACCGGTGTTGGATCTTGGAAGTTAAGATATATTACTTTTGTGCACCACAGTGTGTCTGTGTGCATATTTAGGCCTCTCTCCCGCTCCGGCTGCAGCGCCTCACGCCTCTCTACCATGCGAATCCGCTCCATGAACTGCGTCACTCGACGCACGCGAGTCGCGCCCAGCCGCACAGCGCGAGCTTCCGCGTGGGCGCCGGACGCGGCCCCGCCCGTGGCGCTGCGGCCTCCGCCGCTGGGGCTTGCGAGGGCGGGGCGAAGCAGAGCCGACTGAGCGCGCGGCTAGCGTGCGTGCAGCGGTCTTCCTTGGCGCTGGCCGCGGCGGCGGGCGGCGGGCCGCGCGCCGCGGCGGGCTCGCTCGATGCCGGACGGAGGGCGAGCCCTGCCGGATTTGCCACCTGCTCCAGCGCCCGCGCCTCCCCCTCCTCCGCCTGCGCCGCCGTGCCGGCCGCTGACCCCGCGTCGCCCCGCGTCGCCCCGCGCCGCCCCGCCTCCTCGCCTGCAGCCGCCGCCTCGCCTGCTGCAGCCTTTGCAGCCGCCTCCTCGCCTGCAGCCGCCTTTGCAGCCGCCACCTCGCCTGCAGCCGCCTCCTCGCCTGCAGCCGCCTCCTCGCCTGCAGCCGCCTTTGCAGCCGCCGCCTCGCCTGCAGCAGCCGCCTCGCCTGCAGCCGCCTCCTCGCCTGCAGCCGCCTCTTCGCCTGCAGCCGCCTCCTCGGCTGCAGCCGCCTCCTCGCCTGCAGCCGCCTCCTCGCCTGCAGCAGCCTCCTCGCCTGCAGCAGCCGCCTCGCCTGCAGCAGCCGCCTCCTGTGCCTCCGAGGGGCGGCAGAACATCGAGTGCTCCTTTAGCTCCGAGCCCACCTCGCCGCCGCCGCCGCCGCCGGGGCCGCCCCGCCCCCCCTCCGTAGCGCCGCTTCCGCCACCCGCGGCGCCGCCGGTTGGCGCCTTGGTCGCGGCGGCGGCGCCGCCGAGGTCGTGGAGCATCGCGTCGACGGCCTTCTGGGCTGCCTGGAGCAGCGCCGCCGCGCCAGGGCCGTGTCGGCTCGGCGGAGCCGCGAGGGGGCGCTGCTCCTCCCTTGGCCCCTCGTGCGCACCCAGCCTCTGCTCCACGATCGCCGCCAGGTCGAGGGCGAGATCCGCCGAGATCGAGATCCGCCGAGACCCGTCGAGGGCGGGAGCCGCGCGCAAGCCGCGCCCCGCCCAGAGACCGGCCGCGCCTCTATCGGCAGCCGCGTCGGTGGTAGGGGCGTCAGTGGCGGGGGTACCGGTGGCGGCATCATCGGCGGCGGCAGCGGCGGCGGCGGCGGCATCGGCAGCGGCGGCGTGGGCGGCTGCGTCGGTGGCAGGGATGTCGGCGGCGGCGTCGGCGATGTCAGCGGTGGCGGAGGCGGCGGGAGGGGAGGCGGCGGTGGCGGCGCAGGCGGTGTCGTTGTCGGCGATGGAGGCGTCGGCGTCGTCCTTAGGGTCGTCGGCGGTGGAGGCGGCAGGGGCGTCGCATAGGGAGGCTTCCGCGCAGCGGGAGGCTTCAGCCGGGGCTTCTGCCGTAGCGGAGCCGACGCCATCCTGCGCCGCCGCCCCTCCTGGGGAGAGCACCTCCCGCACCTCCCGCAGCCGCTCCAGCGCGGCGGCGCGCCGCGCGGCCGCCCTCGCCGCGCGCACGTTGAGTGGACCCGCGGAGGAGACCGGCGCAGAGGCCTCCGCAGTGCGGCTCGCCGAGGCCGTCGCCTGCTCCGCCTCACCGCCAGACATGACGCCAGACATGACGCCAGACATGACGCCAGACATGACGCCCGCATCGACGCCCGCATCGACGCCCGCATCGCCGCCAGACGCGGCGCCAGGCGTGGCGTCAGGCGTGCCAGCCGCACCGCTCGCCCGCAACCGCGAGGGGCCATCCTCCAGGTGGAGCGGCGGCTGGGGCGAGCCCTCGCCCTCGCCGCCGTGGCCTGCGCCAAAGGTGAGGGCGACCACCGGGAGCTCAGGCTGCCGCCTGCGCCGCCTGCGCCGCTCCTCGCGCCTGTCGCGTGAGCCCGTCGCCGACCCTCCAGAGCGGGCACTCGACCACAGGGAAGCGCCCCCCTCGCTATTGCAAGGCCTCGCCTCGCGCACGACCGGCTCGGAGGGCGTCGCGCAAGACGGCGCACGTTCTGCGGCGGCGCCGTCCCCAGTCATCTCTGAGAGCTTTGCCGGCCGCTCAGAGAGGTAGTCCTGCGTGCAGAGAGCGCAGCGGCACAACGATGTGCGGAGGCAGGCGATGTCCGCCGGCGCCTGCCGAAGCTGCAGCGAGGTGCGCGGCGTCGTTGAGCGCGGCGGGGCGCGCGGGAGCCGACTCTTGAGAAGCCGGAGCGCGCCGCTGGCAGCGGCGGCGTCGGGGCTGCTGACCGCGGCGGGGCAAGTGGCCGCGGCGTCGGGGCCGCTGGCCGAAGGGTGCTGCCACATGCAGAAATGGCGGTTGTGCCACAAGAGCAAAGGCGCGAAAAAAATTTCGCTCGACGTTTCATGCTACCGGGGGAAACGCCCCCGCTGGTGTTCAGTCCGAGCCTGACTAATATAATTAACTAACTCCTCGTTCGGTGGCGGTTGTGACCTTCCTTTCCCATTTTCTTTCTTCCAACGCAAACCCGGTCAGCAGTCCTCCTCCGGGAATGGGTGAAAAACAAAGAAAAAGAAACCCCGGAATTCTTGACTCTCCTCCGCCTCTTCGTGCATCGGCACCATCCACTTGGCGGGTATCGCTCTGTGTCTGCTCGCGAGTCCCTACACCGGATAACCGGATATGGAGGAGTTCATCGGGCCGCTCCGCTTCGACGAGCACAAGGCCTTCCTCCGAGTCGTCCACTCACGTGGCGGCGATGCGCTGTACCTCGGCCCACTCTTGCCCCGAGCAATCAAACGGTACCTCAAGCACTGGCTGCCGCTCGTCGCAAGCGAGGGCGACGGCGCCCGGCTCATCCCGCCCCTCGATGTCGCCTGGGTGTGGCACCTGCACCGGCTCGCGCCTCGCCGCTATGCTGTGTACTGCAACGAGCGCTTTGGACGGGTGCTCGAGCCGGCGGCAGCGGCCTTCAAGGCACAGAGCGCTGCGGACGAGGCCGATGGCGAGACTCGCCGGCTGTGGGAGAAGCACTACGCCGACGAGCCCTTCTTCCAGCGCGGCGAGGGCGAGAGCAGCCCGGCGGAGTGGGGCCCTCGCGACCCGCTCTCGAACCAGACGACGCTCTGCGCCGAAATCAAGACGGCGTGCGCTGCGGCTCGCAGCGAACACGGCTTCGACTACGACGTGGAGACCTGCTCCGCGCGCCAGCGCACCTTCCTCTGGCAGGTCTCGCAGCCGGCGTTCAGCGGCAGCGAGGGCTTTGCGGCCGCCGCTGGCGAACGGTACCTCCAGTTCCTGGGCCTGATGAAGAAGCACGGGTGCGAGGAGCACTTCTTCGTGCCGTCGTACGACATCGACTTTGCGTGGCACACGCACATGCTCTCCAGCACCACCTGCTACCTCCGCGAGACCGAGGCTCTCGCCGACGCCCCCGGTGGCGTCGACCACGACGACTCGGTCAACCAGCGGCACGAGGACAGCAAGCTGCATCTGGGCGCCGCGCACAACGCGCCTGCAGACACGCCCCACAGTTGCACACACATCATGTTGGGTTGCGTAGGCTGGGCCGAGACGAAGGAGCTGTGGGCGAGTGAGCACGGCGATGCGGCCGACCCGATCGACCGGACCGGCGTCACGTACCGCGGCGAGCCGCCGGACTGGTGGTTTGAAGCCGACGGCAGCGACATCTTCCGCGTGCTCGACTGCTTCCTGTCGGAGGAGGAGGTGGCGAACGCGCTCGAGAAGCTGAGCTGCGAGGCGAACGTCCGGGGGCGAGCTCACAGCGGCTTCGACATGGGTTGCCAGGTCAGCGGCGATGTGATGCGCCGCCTCAGAGAGCAGATCGATGCCGAGGGGGCGGTGGAAGGGCGAGAGCCGGCAGAGTTGGCGCAGCCGCCGGCGGGGCAGGAGCCGCAGCAGGAGGAGGAGCAGGAGCTGGTGGAGGTGCCTGCGAGGGTGTGCCCGGCCTCCAAGAGCGTTCCCCAGCACAAGGACAAGCCGGACGGCAAGGGCGCTGCGGTGGGCAGCTGGATCTGTGTCGTCTATCTCACCAACCAGCCAGGCAGCGCGCTCGTCCTCGTCGACGATGTGACCGGCCGCGAGTTTCGCGTCCCGGTTGTGGCGGGGCGCCTCTGCTGCTGGCCGAACGCCCGCTTCTCGCACCGCGTGGACGTGGACGCCGCGGATGCCGAGCTGGCGAGCTTCCGGAGCATGCTGGGACCCATGGCCTTCAGCCACTCCCCTTCGAAGCAGATCGTCTACACCGAAGGGGGCTGCGGCGGCGGTGGCTGTGGCGGCGGCGGCTGCGGCGGCGGCGGCGGCGGCTGCGGCGGCGGAGGCTGCGCCGGCGGCGGCGGCGGCGTACCCACAATCGTCGACTCGGCAACGGTGCGAGTCGTCGGGGTGTCCACGCTGAAAAGCGATGTGATGAACCTCGCAAAGGGAACCGCGAGCGCAGCCGCCCTCGTCGGCACTTTTGCGCCGTCCGCCTACAGCGCCGTGTGGGATACCGGGGGCATATCCTTCATTCGCCGCCGCGGCAATGTTCCGTACATGCACGAGGCGGCCGTCTCGCAGGCGCTCTGGCAGCAGCTGCAGCAGCAGATCGGTGAGCTCGAGGCGCGACTTGCCGCGATCGCAGACCTGTCAGACTATCCGAGTTGCAGCGCCTTTTGCTGCGGCGGCCCCTCCCTTGATGCTTTCAAAGCGGTCGCCGCTCTCGTCAAGGCCACGCGCGACGTGCACGTGGCAGCAGTGAACGTGCAGCTCGCGGCGTTCGGCGTGCAGCTCTGCTTCGGCGGAGGCAACTCGGCGTACTACTTGCAGGCGGCTGCAAGTCTCGAGCAGGCGATCCGCGAGGCCGAGCCGGCGCTGCAGCAAGCGCAGGCCGCAGAGGTTGCGGCTCGAGAGGGCCTCGCGCCGTTCGGCATCGCCCCGCCCGCGGCCGGATATGTGGTGCAGGGCATTGTCGCCGGAGGGGTCCTCGAGATCTCTGTGCCGGAGGGGCTCTCGGGCGGCGAGTCGCTGCAGGTTCAGACGCCCGCCGGGCTGGTGTCGGTGCAGATCCCGCCTGGCGTTGCCGCCGGCCAGTCCTTGCAGGTGCAGGCCCCGCTGCCGCCTCAATCGGCGGCGCCCGTCACCGCGCAGCCCGTGGTGGCGCAGCCAGTGGCGCCGCCTGCAGGCCTGCAGATGCAGCGGCACCCCGTCGTGGAGGGCGTGCCCGTCTAGTCCGAGGAGCGCCACCGTGGAGCGGCATGTGCTGCCGCTTTCTGGGAGAGGGAGGCCCGAGAGATGATGTGCATGCTTCTGTACGTTGTTGAGGTCTGAGTCAATGCGCCTCACCGCGCGAGTACGCGAGGCGTGCGGTGTGAAGCTACGTGCGGACACTTTAGTCGCCGTCTCTGAGTCGTGTCCCCGTTGACATTTTGTTTCATGCATATTGTCGTACACTCCGGGCCCTCGCGCGGGCAAGACCCTCCCGGCTAGCTCCCTCCCGAGCTCCAACGGAGTGTTCGCGCAGTTCCGCCGATAACGATTGGGGTGGGGGCCCCAACTCGTGGTAGGCCACTAGTTTATCGTAGGGTACTCACGGATACCTCTCCTGAGTCCCTCTCGTGTGCCCTCGCGCACATCGCATGCGGTCTTCACTCAGCCTCCGCTGCTGTGAACACCAAACTTGCACTTCAGCTGGTGCGCGCTTTCGCCGCCTACTTTCGCGAGCGCGCTTGGCCCTTGCTCCTCATGCGCGGCGCTCTCGCTGCGCTCTCTCCCTGCTCATGGGACCTGATGCCGCGCCACCTCTGTGGCCGCTCCATCCTCTCTGACGGCGCCAGCCCTCCGGCTGCGCCATCTCTCTTTGGTTGGCACAGAATCTGTGTCTGCGCCATTCTTGCTGTCGCTGGCGACTGTTCTGGGCAGCAGTACACGATGGGCGGCGGCCTCGTCTGCCGCGCTTGTGGCGCTCTCGTGGTCGCCTCGGGTCTGCCACGACGGCCTCGTCCACCTGGCGGCCAGGGGCGGTGGCCCCACAGCCCACTCTTGGTGCTGCTGTTGCATCACGTCTCGTGGCGTGCTTCTCCTTTCTCTCTGGACCCGCCGGCGATAAGCTCTGCTGTCATGTTGCTCTGGGAGATCTCTATCCAAGGCAGCACTCCGGCACTTGCTCCGCCCGTGCAGCGGCGCTTGCTGCTCTTCGAGTGAGCCTCGTCTCGCTCTCTTTGTCTGCTCAAGCCTCGCCTCGTTCGCCCTCGTGGGCGGCGTGGCGGGCGGCTGTCTCTGCCGCCGCCTCGAGTGAGCCTCGTCTCGCTCTTCGTCTACTCGAGCCTCGTCTCGTGTGCCGCCTCGTGGGCGGCGTGGCGGGCTGCTGTCTCTGCCGCCGCCTCGAGTGAGCCTCGTCTCGCTCTTCGTCTACTCGAGCCTCGTCTCGTGTGCCGCCTCTTGGGCGGCGTGGCGGGCTGCTGTCTCTGCCTCCGCCTCGAGTGAGCCTCGTCTCGCTCTTCGTCTACTCTAGCCTCGTCTCGTGTGCCGCCTCTTGGGGGGCGTGGCGTGGCGGGCGGCTGTCTCTGCCGCCGCCTCGAGTGAGCCTCGTCTCGCTCTTCGTCTACTCGAGCCTCGTCTTGTGTGCCGCCTCTTGGGCGGCGTGGCGTGGCGGGCGGCTGTCTCTGCCGCCGCCTCGTGTGAGCCTCGTCTCGCTCTTCGTCTACTCGAGCCTCGTCTCGTGTGCCGCCTCGTGGGCGGCGTGGCGTGGCGGGCGGCTGTCTCTGCCGCCGCCTCGAGTGAGCCTCGTCTCGCTCTTCGTCTGCTCGAGCCTCGTCTCGTGGGCCGCCTCGTGGGCGGCGTGGCGTGGCGGGCGGCTGTCTCTGCCGCCGCCTCGAGTGAGCCTCGTCTCGCTCGTCGTCTACTCGAGCCTCGTCTCGTGTGCCGCCTCGTGGGCGGCGTGGCGGGCTGCTGTCTCTGCCGCCGCCTCGAGTGAGCCTCGTCTAGCTCTTCGTCTACTCGAGCCTCGTCTCGTGTGCCGCCTCGTGGGCGGCGTGGCGGGCGGGCGGCTGTCTCTGCCGCCGCCTTGAGTGAGCCTCGTCTCGCTCTTCGTCTCCTCGAGCCTCGCCTCGTGTGCCGCCTCTTGGGCGGCGTGGCGTGGTGGGCGGCTGTCTCTGCTGCCGCCTCGAGTGAGCCTCGTCTCGCTCTTCGTCTACTCGAGCCTCGCCTCGTGTGCCGCCTCGTGGGCGGCGTGGCGTGGCGGGCGGCTGTCTCTGCCGCCGCCTCGAGTGAGCCTCGTCTGGCTCTTCGTCTACTCGAGCCTCGCCTCGTGTGCCGCCTCGTGGGCGGCGTGGCGTGGCGGGCGGCTGTCTCTGCCGCCGCCTCGAGTGAGCCTCGTCTCGCTCTTCGTCTACTCGAGCCTCGCCTCGTGTGCCGCCTCGTGGGCGGCGTGGCGTGGCGGGCGGCTGTCTCTGCCGCCGCCTCGAGTGAGCCTCGTCTCGCTCTTCGTCTACTCGAGCCTCGTCTCGTGTGCCGCCTCGTGGGCGGCGTGGCGGGCGGCTGTCTCTGCTGCCGCCTTGAGTGAGCCTCGTCTCGCTCTTCGTCTACTCGAGCCTCGTCTCGTGTGCCGCCTCGTGGGGCGGCGTGGCGGGCGGCTGTCTCTGCCCGCCTCGAGTGAGCCTCGTCTCGCTCTTCGTCTACTCGAGCCTCGTCTCGTGTGCCGCCTCGTGGGCGGCGTGGCGTGGCGGGCGGCTGTCTCTGCCGCCGCCTCGAGTGAGCCTCGTCTCGCTCTTCGTCTACTCGAGCCTCGTCTCGTGTGCCGCCTCGTGGGGCGGCGTGGCGGGCGGCTGTCTCTGCCCGCCTCGAGTGAGCCTCGTCTCGCTCTTCGTCTACTCGAGCCTCGTCTCGTGTGCCGCCTCGTGGGCGGCGTGGCGTGGCGGGCGGCTGTCTCTGCCGCCGCCTCGAGTGAGCCTCGTCTCGCTCTTCGTCTACTCGAGCCTCGTCTCGTGTGCCGCCTCGTGGGCGGCGTGGCGGGCGGCTGTCTCTGCCGCCGCCTCGAGTGAGCCTCGTCTCGCTCTTCGTCTACTCGAGCCTCGTCTCGTATGCCGCTTGTGGGGAGCGTGGCGTGGCGGGCGGCTGTCTCTGCCGCCGCCTCGAGTGAGCCTCGTCTCGCTCTTCGTCTACTCGAGCCTCGTCTCGTGTGCCGCCTCGTGGGCGGCGTGGCGGGCGGCTGTCTCTGCCGCCGCCTCGAGTGAGCCTCGTCTCGCTCTTTGTCTACTCGAGCCTCGTCTCGTGTGCCGCCTCGTGGGCGGCGTGGCGGGCGGCTGTCTCTGCCGCCGCCTCGAGTGAGCCTCGTCTCGCTCTTCGTCTACTCGAGCCTCGCCTCGTGTGCCGCCTCGTGGGCGGCGCGGCGGGCGGCCGTCTCTGCTGCCGCCTCGAGTGAGCCTCGTCTCGCTCTTCGTCTACTCGAGCCTCGCCTCGTATGCCGCTTGTGGGGAGCGTGGCGTGGCGGGCGGCCGTCTCTGCCGCCGCCTCGTGTGAGCCTCGTCTCGCTCTTCGTCTACTCGAGCCTCGTCTCGTGTGCCGCCTCGTGGGCGGCGTGGCGGGCGGCTGTCTCTGCCGCCGCCTCGAGTGAGCCTCGTCCCGCTCTTCGTCTACTCGAGCCTCGCCTCGTATGCCGCTTGTGGGGAGCGTGGCGTGGCGGGCGGCTGTCTCTGCCGCCGCCTCGTGTGAGCCTCGTCTCGCTCTTCGTCTACTCGAGCCTCGTCTCGTGTGCCGCCTCTTGGGCGGCGTGGCGGGCGGCTGTCTCTGCCGCCGCCTCGAGTGAGCCTCGTCTCGCTCTTCGTCTACTCGAGCCTCGCCTCGTATGCCGCTTGTGGGGAGCGTGGCGTGGCGGGCGGCTGTCTCTGCCGCCGCCTCGAGTGAGCCTCGTCTCGCTCTTCGTCTACTCGAGCCTCGTCTCGTGTGCCGCCTCGTGGGCGGCGTGGCGTGGCGGGCGGCTGTCTCTGCCGCCGCCTCGAGTGAGCCTCGTCTCGCTCTTCGTCTACTCGAGCCTCGTCTCGTGTGCCGCCTCGTGGGCGGCGTGGCGGGCGGCTGTCTCTGCCGCCGCCTCGAGTGAGCCTCGTCTCGCTCTTCGTCTACTCGAGCCTCGTCTCGTGTGCCGCCTCGTGGGGAGCGTGGCGGGCGGCTGTCTCTGCCCGCCTCGAGTGAGCCTCGTCTCGCTCTTCGTCTACTCGAGCCTCGTCTCGTGTGCCGCCTCGTGGGCGGCGTGGCGGGCGGCTGTCTCTGCCGCCGCCTCGAGTGAGCCTCGTCTCGCTCTTCGTCTACTCGAGCCTCGCCTCGTATGCCGCTTGTGGGGAGCGTGGCGTGGCGGGCGGCTGTCTCTGCCGCCGCCTCGAGTGAGCCTCGTCTCGCTCTTCGTCTACTCGAGCCTCGTCTCGTGTGCCGCCTCGTGGGCGGCGTGGCGTTGCGGGCGGCTGTCTCTGCCGCCGCCTCGAGTGAGCCTCGTCTCGCTCTTCGTCTACTCGAGCCTCGCCTCGTATGCCGCTTGTGGGGAGCGTGGCGTGGCGGGCGGCTGTCTCTGCCGCCGCCTCGAGTGAGCCTCGTCTCGCTCTTCGTCTACTCGAGCCTCGTCTCGTGTGCCGCCTCGTGGGCGGCGTGGCGGGCGGCTGTCTGTGCCGCCGCCTCGAGTGAGCCTCGTCTCGCTCTTCGTCTACTCGAGCCTCGCCTCGTATGCCGCTTGTGGGGAGCGTGGCGTGGCGGGCGGCTGTCTCTGCCGCCGCCTCGAGTGAGCCTCGTCTCGCTCTTCGTCTACTCGAGCCTCGTCTCGTGTGCCGCCTCGTGGGCGGCGTGGCGGGCTGCTGTCTCTGCCTCCGCCTCGAGTGAGCCTCGTCTCGCTCTTCGTCTACTCGAGCCTCGCCTCGTGTGCCGCCTCGTGGGGCGGCGTGGCGGGCGGCTGTCTCTGCCGCCGCCTCGAGTGAGCCTCGTCTCGCTCTTCGTCTACTCGAGCCTCGTCTCGTGTGCCGCCTCGTGGGCGGCGTGGCGTGGCGGGCGGCTTTCTCTGCCGCCGCCTCGAGTGAGCCTCGTCTCGCTCTTCGTCTACTCGAGCCTCGTCTCGTGTGCCGCCTCGTGGGCGGCGTGGCGTGGCGGGCTGCTGTCTTTGCCTCCGCCTCGAGTGAGCCTCATCTCGCTCTTCGTCTACTCGAGCCTCGCCTCGTGTGCCGCCTCGTGGGGCGGCGTGGCGGGCGGCTGTCTCTGCCGCCGCCTCGAGTGAGCCTCGTCTCGCTCTTCGTCTACTCGAGCCTCGTCTCGTGTGCCGCCTCGTGGGCGGGGTGGCGGGCTGCTGTCTCTGCCTCCGCCTCGAGTGAGCCTCGTCTCGCTCTTCGTCTACTCGAGCCTCGCCTCGTGTGCCGCCTCGTGGGCGGCGTGGCGTGGCGGGCGGCTGTCTGTGCCGCCGCCTCGAGTGAGCCTCGTCTCGCTCTTCGTCTACTCGAGCCTCGTCTCGTGTGCCGCCTCGTGGGCGGCGTGGCGTGGCGGGCGGCTGTCTGTGCCGCCACCTCAAGTGAGCCTCGTCTCGCTCTTCGTCTACTCGAGCCTCGTCTCGTGTGCCGCCTCTTGGGCGGCGTGGCGGGCGGCTGTCTCTGCCGCCGCCTCGAGTGAGCCTCGTCTCGCTCTTCGTCTACTCGAGCCTCGTCTCGTGTGCCGCCTCTTGGGCGGCGTGGCGTGGCGGGCTGCTGTCTCTGCCGCCGCCTCGAGTGAGCCTCGTCTCGCTCTTCGTCTACTCGAGCCTCGTCTCGTGTGCCGCCTCTTGGGCGGCGTGGCGTGGCGGGCGGCTGTCTCTGCCGCCGCCTCGTGTGAGCCTCGTCTCGCTCTTCGTCTACTCGAGCCTCGTCTCGTGTGCCGCCTCGTGGGCGGCGTGGCGTGAATGTAGGCTTCACGCTGGGGTCGCTCCTCGTCACGAGCGCATCTGCCCCTCTTCTGGCTTCATTGGGATGCGAGGTCCGTCTGCACCCGCTCCCTCCACTCTGCGTTGGGATGTCAGGTACTGCGTAGCTCTTCCGTTGTGGAGGCACGCGACTCCAGACTGACCCTTTACGCACCAATGTATCACACCTCACGGTGCCGATGCTTGGTTCATGTGGAGAAGCCGAGATAAACTAGTCCGCCGATAACGATTGGGGTGGGGGCCCCAACTCGTGGTAGGCCACTAGTTTATCGTAGGGTACTCACGGATACCTCTCCTGAGTCCCTCTCGTGTGCCCTCGCGCACATCGCATGCGGTCTTCACTCAGCCTCCGCTGCTGTGAACACCAAACTTGCACTTCACCTCACGGTGCCGATGCTTGGTTCATGTGGAGAAGCCGAGATAAACTAGTGGGCGCTGTGAAAACGTGCGGGCCACGCTGCGCGGGGCTCGCTCGGTTGTTAGCTCCGGCTAGGCATGCCAGCTCCCTCCCGTGACGCTATCGCCGTCGCCGTGGGCAAGTGCGTCTTTCTCAAGCTCGCGCCGCAGGACACGCAGAAACTCCTCGCGCCGGTTGGCGCCAAGGTGGACTGGAAGGCGGTCCGCGCGTACACGGCGCAGGCGGTCCGTTCGCCGCAGGCTGCGGCGTGCTTGAGCGGCCACTTCACGGAGCAGCTGGCGGTACTGAATGCGGTTCTGGAGCCCAAGCTCTTTCTTGGCGGCGCCAGCCCCTGCCTGGCCGATCTCGTGCTCGCCGTCGCGCTGCACGGCTGCTTCGCTGCGTTCGACGACCAGCACAAGTGGGCGCTCTGCAACGCGTCGCGGTGGTTCGACCTGCTGCAGCACCGCGCGGTGGCGCTGGGCATGCCCGACGACTTGAAGCCGGGCCCTCCCGTCACCTTCGTCTACGACGCGCCCGAGCCGCTACCCGCCATCGAGTCGCTCGCGCCTCTCGTCGGCGTGGCGGCGGCGGCGCCGGCGGCAGCGGCGCCGGCCGCGGGCGACGCGGGCGCAGCGGGCGGCAGCGCAGGCGGAGCGGGCGGCGGCAAGGAGCGGCCGCCGGCGGACGCGGCCGCCAAGGCGGCCGCCAAGGCCAAGAAGGACGCCGACAAGGAGAAAAAGGCGGCGAAGAAGGCTGCGGCGCCGGCGCCGGCGGGCGGAGGCGACGAGGCGCGGGCCGTCGACGTGTCTTGGTGCGCCTCCTACTCCGCCTGCTTCCCCTACTCCCCTTGCCCACCCTACTCCCGTTGCTCACACTGCTCCCCTCACACTGCTCCCCTCACACTGCTCCCCTCACACTGCTCCCCTCACCCTACTAAGTCCTGGCCCCGCCCCTCTCCACCCCCGCGCTGCCGACGCTGCCGGTGCCGGTGCCGCCAGGCCACCGACGCGGAGGGCGTCGCCTGCTACAGGGGCGTTCCGTTTGCGACAGCGGCGGGCAAGTGCACTGCAGCCATAAAGAGCGCGCCGATCAGCTAGAGCGCAGAGCAGAGCCTCCGAGATTGCAACTCCGGTGGCAACGGGCTTCCGGTTCGGGTTGAGGTGTTTGTGTCCCCTCCCGACAGCACCGCCAAACCGCGCGGCGCCACGACACCCCCGCCCCGCCGGGCCCGCAGCCGCACGCCGCCCAGACGCCGCAGACGTCCCGCATCGTGCGTTCTGGCATATACGTGTGGTCGTGCGCGTCGCGAGGCATTGGCATTGCTTTTCTCAGGCATAAAACTCCTCAGGCCACACGTCTGCGCTCCTGACGAATATGTCATTAAAAGTAGCCGGACGGGAGAGAGCGGCGCGCGAGAGGAGTGCGCCAAAATACCACGGACACGCAGCTGCAAGACCGACTCCCAACCCGATAGAGAGATGGTCCGAGGACCCATAACATCCTGTGCTAAAAGGAGCTGCTATTGACCCTGCCCGCGCTTCTGCATCATGCGCGACACGACGAACACGGAGGAGTCGAGGTACCTCCCGGCGCAGTTCGAGATGCAGGACGCCTCTGACGAGTCGAGCTTGGCGCCCGGCTTCGTCACGCATTTGTCGAAGCATGTCTCGGTGAGCTTGTTGATCGCCGCCTGGATGACCGCCTTCTGCTGCTCCGTCTCCATGAACCCCTGCAGGTCCTTCAGCTGCTGCTCATTCGGCTCCACGTCGTCCATGATTCTCGCTCCGCAGCGGTGCACAGCCGGAGCCTGCGGCAGCGGGAGGGGCGGCGGATGGCGCGGCAGCGCGACGGGACGCCGCGAGGAAGTGCAGCGCGGGGCGATGACGCAGGGCGCGGGGCGATGACGAGTGTGTGTCTGGGGCTTGGGTGTTCGTGGCGTGCCCGCTCGCGAAGAGCGAAAAGAATTTAAACAAAACAACTCTCTCTCACAGCAGACAGGCTCGACACAGGTGCGAACTGGCGCGTGCTAGTACTATCACCGGCACACCACCGGAGCCGCCTAAGCGACTCCGTTAAGAATTTCCCCACGCGCTTTTTTCTGGGCACAACACTGGGCGCAACAATTCAAACAGCGCCTGACGCATGGCGTTCAGGCGGCACTTCTCTCGCGTCGGCTCCGCCGAGCGCTGCACAGAGACCATCTTCACTGACCACCAACGTTCGGTTCGTGAAGGGTCGGTGCGAGTCGTGCTACCAGTCCTCGGCCTTGGTGAGCAGTCACATCCGTGCTCCCCGCCATCTCCATCGCCTGGTCTGCGAATGCTTATCAGCCACGAAAGGAGAGCGTGGCCGAGGACGCATAGACTCAGATCGCAAGATCCCAGAAAGGCACCTCCGCCTCTGGACAGGGTGGCCCGCCACGTAAGGACCCCAGGAATTGCGACTCGCCGCTTTCCTCCCGCTGTGATCCTGTGAGAGCTCTGTGTCTTGATTTGCCAACAATATACCTATAACCAACGACAGGTGTGCGACTACGCGCTCGCCTACGCGGAGAAGAAGAACGACGGCGAAGCGCCGTACTCGGTCTCCTTCACCGCGACGCAGAGCGGCGACGTCATCGTACAGCTGCACCCGCACTCGCAGCTCGAGCGCGCTGTGCGCCAGGAGCGGCAGGCGCAGGCCACGGAGCCGCCTGCGAGCGCGAGCCCTGCGGCGCCGCCCGCCCCTGCCGCCGCGCCGCCAGCCGCGGAGCCGGCGCCCAAGACGTACGCCGCCGCAGCCGCATCGCAGCCGCAGGGTGCCACCGCGGGTGGCCAGCCCGCCGCGCCTGCGGGCCCGGCCGCCGCCGCGCGCGTGCCGCCGCCGCCCAGCGGCGGCGGAGTGCGCGGCTGCTCCTTCACTGTCCCTAACCCGGGCAGGAAGCGTGGGCAGCAGCAGCGCGGCAAGGGCCGCGGTGCCAGGGGCCGTGCCGATGCTGGACCCCGTCTCGTTGACAAGAACGCGCTGTCCGCGCGCGGCAGCGGGCCCTCGCGCCAGTCGCGCTCGCCGTCGCCCGACTCTCCGCCCGCCAAGCGGGCCGCCTCCGCTGACTCGTCCGGCTATGAAACCGATACGCCGGACGAGGTGCAGCAGGAGGCGGTCCGCAGGGTATGCGGCGCGCTCGGCATGAGGGAGCAGTTTGAGGCGGCGATGGCGGCGGGCGAGCTGCTCGAGATGCTCGAGAGCTTGCCGCGAGGGGCGGTCGAGGCCTCTGTCCGACAGATGCGGGGTTACAACCGCACGGGCGAGTGGCCAGAGCCCATTCTCACCAGCCCTGCCCCGCAGCGCGGCCGCTCGCCAAGCCCCGTCGATGAGTGGTCAGATGGTTAGTGCCCGAGAGCGAGGGGTCCGGGGGGGAGCACAAACATAGGACGCCCAGCCTTGCCCTCGTGCCGCCGAGTGCATATCCTATGCGAGAGAGATCCCCTGTGCCCTGTGCCCAGCCCTCTCCGCGGCGATGCGCCCTCGCCCCTCGCTTTTGCAAAATCCTGCAAAGGTGGGGACGTGTCTGTCCTCGACCCAGCCCTAGCTTGGGATGTCCGTTGTATTTATTTATTTATTACAACACTGGGCACGGGACTGGCGCGCACTGGCACAAACAGCGAAAAGCAACTACCATTTTTTTCTTCTTTCTTTTTTGGACCCCCGATCTCTCTGACTCTCTGCGGCCGCTGGCTGGCGGCTGGTCTCCTATGTGTATGCGGCCGGATCAATTACCTTGCGCCGCCGTGTGATCGCAACAACCATTTCCTGGCCGCCACACTACGAGGAGCAAGAGCATCAGTCATCATGTGGCTGCCCCAATGCGAAGTTGCTAGTAGAGTCATGACGGGTATAGCAGGCTACGGACCCTGCAAAGGCCTCCATCAGCTTCGACAACTTGCTTGTCTTCCGCATCTGGGGGGGGGGGGGGGGAAGCCCCCAAGGGAGTGTAAGTTGAGAGAGGCTAGAGGGGAAGGCGGGAATAGGCCACACTCTAAGAGCGCGCCTTGAAGAAGATCTCGCTGCCGTCCTGCGTGACCGCCTTGAGGTGGATCGGCGGGCCAAGCAAGCCCGACATGAGGAGCCGCTCCGTCTCACCGGCCTCCTCCATGATCTTTCTAGTCCGGGTTTGGTAAGCGTCCCGTCGGGCCGCTTCTTCGGGGGTCGGCGGGGTCGGCGGGCGATTCCGCCGCTCCTCCTCCTCCGCCTCTGCCGCTGCCACTCCTCATCGTTGTCGCGCACGTTGCAGCGCGTGATGCTCTTCGAGTCGCCGGCGCCGTCGAGCAGGTCGTCGTACGAGAGGCGGGCGCCAAAGCGTCGAGGTCGACGGCGAGCGCCGCGAGGCTGCTGCGGTCGGACGCGAGCAGCAGCTCCTCCACGTCGGGACTCGGCTGCGTTGGCTCGCCAAAGTCTTTGTTCTCGGGATGGCGCTGGGTCCGCGCTGACTGGGGCGGGCGTGGGTGTGCGTGTTTTGTAGAGAAGCAAAAACGCACGTCGTCCGGGTTCTGTCGTGTGCGTCGACGGCGTGCGGGCGGAGGCGAGGCTGAGCCTGTGGCGAGAGCTAAGACAGAGCAGTGCGAGAGTTACACACGACACACGACACGACAGGGGCAGGGACACAGACACAGACACACACTGCGCTCCCCTCAGCTCCCGCGAGAGGTAGGGAGACGCGAACCCGACGGAGTCCGGTGGTGGGGGCCCTCCACGCAGCCAGCCCCTGCGTTGCAAAGGTTGGTGCTGAGCCGCCGCCGCCGCTCGCTCTCGAAAAGCGTCGCGCTGCTGCCCGTTCCCGGAGCGACGAGCGCGAGTTTGGTGGCCAGGGCCTTGCCTGAAGGGGGGCGGGGCAAGGGGGGAGAAGATGAGGACGTCACTGAGCGGGGGCTGCCGGGAAGGTGGTGGGCGGGGCGTGGATGCACCTTAAAGGAGCGAGTAGCGGGAAGACCGTTGATACTCCGGCGGAAGAGTGCCCCCCCGCCGCCCCCTGGGTCACCCCGAGTGTGATCAGGGTCGGAACAGGTCAGAGGCTTACCCTCCTTCTGTACTGTTTTACAATGCGCCGCCCGCCGGGGAAGCGGTGATCGCCCCCGCCTTTTCACCCAGTGCGTCGGGCATGGTTGCAACCGAAGGGCCTGGCCAGCGCCGACTTTGCGAGCTCGCAGTGAGCGGAGACCTCGAGGGCGTGGTGGCCACCCTCGCTGCGGGCGAAAGCGTCGCTGCAGTCGACGAGGAGAATAATACGGCGCTCCACCTCTGCACAAAGCATGGCCACTTCGAGGTGGCCAAGCTTCTCATCGAGCGCGGAGCAAGAGTGAACACTCAAAACGCATCACTGCACATTGCGCTGCACGGCGCCGTGTGGAGGGGGCATCTCGACTGCTCACGCCTCCTTGTCGAGCACAACGCCGAGCTCGAGAACAAGGACGAGTATGGCGATGCATCCACCAAGCTCGCCGCGTTCAAGGGGCACGCTGATATCATGCGCGTTCTGCTCGAGAATGGGGCGTCGACAGAGACGCGCGATTCGTACGGCAACACGCCGATGCACGTCGCGGCGACTCTCGGGCACACAGAGGTGGTTCGCGTGCTCGTGCAGCACGGGGCCCCCTTCGACGTCGTCGGCAAGGATGACTGCCTGCCCATCCACAATGCGACGTGGCAGGAGCACGTCGAGATTGCGTCGCTCCTGATCTCCGGCCGCTCCGCGCGCGACCGCTCACCTCTGGACCGGAGCGACTCATACCAGGCGACGCCCCTCTCGTTAGCCGCCACCAAAGGCAACGCGCGGATCGCGCGGATGCTCGTGGAGGCCGGCGCGCCGGTCGACGCCCTCGACAACCACCGCAACACACCGCTGCACACGGCCGTGTGGCGCGGTCACCTCGAGGTGGCCGAGCTGCTCATGCGCGAGCACAAGGCGCCGCTGGAGGCAGTCGACCAGTATGGTGACACCCCGCTCCACCTCGCCGCATACAAAGGGCGGCACGAGATCCTCCCGATGCTCCTCGGTCAGGGCGCGGCGCTCGACATCGCAAACCTCAACGGGTGGACGGCGCTGCACAAGGCCGTCGATGGCTCGGACGTGCGCACCACGAGGGCCCTCCTCGAGGCCAGGGCGAGCACGGCGTGCAAGACCAACGACGGCCAGCGCGCCCTGCGCATCGCGGTGGGCAAGCAGAGCGCCGAGCTCACGTCGCTGCTCATCGAACACGGGGCAAGCGTTGACGACAGGGACGCGGACGAGCGCACACCGCTGCACGTGTGCGCCAAGGAGGGGCACACGGACATTGCCGCCCTGCTACTGCGCTCGGCAGCCGACGTCGCCGCCTTCGATGCCACGCGCCAACGGCCACTCCACCTGGCCGCCGCACACGGCCACCTCCACACGGTGAGCCTGCTGCTTCACAACGGAGCCCCGATCGCCGCCAAGGACGGCGAAGGCGCCACGGCGTACGACGTGGCCACGGCAGCGGGGGAGGAGTACACGGCCCTCCTGCTGCACAACTGGAAGAAGTGGACGCCGCACCAGCGGGCGATGGCCTATGCAACCGACCTGTTCCGCAGCGACGGGTACGACGCGATGGCCGCGTGGGTGGCGACGGCGAGCGACGGGCAGGTGCCGTGGTCAGCGCGCGAGCGAGCGATGATGAGGGTCGAGAGCGTTTCCTCGGCGGGCTCCTGGCACATCATCGACACGGCCATGCTGCAGCGTGCCATCGGCGAAGCGCAAGGGGCGGTCGACGACGCCTCCCTCGCCGAGTACCTGACAGTACTCGAGCGCGCGATGGAGGCGCAGGTGTCAGTGTCGAGTGGCAAAGGGTGCTCGTTCAGCTTCGTGCGCGCGGACAAGATCCGCGACATGCCCGAGGCCGAGCTCCCTACACTCATCACCCTCCAGCAACTGCGCATTCGGCAGCCCGATTGGGTGGAGCAGCGGACCCTCATGTTCGACCAGGTGTGCCAAGGGGCGTACAAGGAGGAGTTCCTCGCAGTGAGCCATCGCTGGGACTCGCTGACCCATCCCGATCCAACATGCCATCAGCTAGCCGAGCTGCGAGCATTCCTCAGAGAACGCCCACGGATCAAGCTGGTCTTCTTCGAGTGCAGCGAGTAGATCTGAACTCGCCCCCCTCCCCCATGGCTGAGTAGCCTCGATCCGTGACGGCCGCACGCCCCGGGCCACTGTCAAAACTCCCCCCCCCCCCCACCACCCCACCCCACCCCACCCCACCCCCCCACCCCACCCCCCGCCGCAGCTACATGTCGATGCCGCAGGGGCGGCGCACGGAGGCGGAAAAGATCGAGTTCGACGCGGTGCTGCCCAACATCAACCTGCTCTACCTCGGGGCGTCGGTCCTCATCCTGATGGACCGCTCGTACCTCTCTCGATTCTGGACGCAATACGAGGCGTGGCTGAGCATGCAGGAGGCCTCGCCGATGGGCCTCGTCTCCGCGCCCAAGAATCGTCAGCGCTACACCATTCGTTGCATCCACGGCGCGCCGCCTGCGCTCGAGCACTCCTTGGTGCAGGAGTGGTCGCACTGCACGACGCACAGTGCGCACAAGAAGCTCTCTAACCCAGACGTGCTCGTGACGAACATGAGCGATAAGGAAGACCAGCTCAAGAAGATCTTCACCTTCGACCAGCGCATCAAGGCGCTCTTTGTCGCGGCAGGGGCAGCTGGGGCGTTCCAAGGCCTCAGCGAGATGTGCGCTCGCGAAGAAGCCAGTGAGCCGACGACGCACGCCGATGTGTCGTCGGCATCGGTGCTGCCCAGCAAACAGCAGCTCGTGCCCAAATCGGAGTATGACGCGCTCGCGTCAGCACTAGAGGTCAAGACGCGCAGGCTCGCGGAGCAGGACGCTAAACTGGCACAGCTGGAGGCGCAAGTGAGCGAACTGATGCAGAAGCTTGAGCAGGGGGAGAGATCAGGCTCGGCAAAAGAGCGTAGCGGGATGATGCGTAAGCTGCAGTACAACCTCGGTTGGGGCGCACGGCGCACGGTGTGACCTTCCTCTTCTAGAAGTTAATGCACAGTAAGGGCTAAACGTCAGGGGCGGCGACCCCCCCATCTACAGATGATATGCGCGTCTTGAGATAATATGCACATCTAAGAGATGCGCCCTACTCTTAGACTGCACACAGCACACACTCTTCTTTCGCGCGCTGTCTTAAATTCTTTTCGCCTTGGCCGCTTTGTGTATCTCGAGACCTCGAGAGAAGGCCGCCCGCAGGCCTCCCCGAGTGCGATTAGCACCCCGTTGACTATTGTGCTTCGAGGTGCGGTCGCGGGGGAGGGGGGGGGGTGGCGGGGACTCACTTGTTGTTGGAGTTGGCGAGGGAGTCGCTCGCCCTTGCGCTCTCCACCGTGACGTGCTTGCCCGCGGCGGCCTGCTCGACGAGAGTGGGCGCCACCGACAAGTAGAGCTCGCAGGGACGTGATGCGCGATCCGGCCGTGGCGGCGGACGGGCACAGCACGGTGCAGATGCTTGGGTCATGCGGAGAAGCCACGGTGGACGAGACAGCCTGTCTCGCCAGCCTGCCCGCTGAGCTCCTCGGCGCTGTCCTCCCGGCGGCCGGTCTCGTGTCGCTGGCGTCCTCCTGCAGCGCAATGCGGGACTCGATGGCGCCATTTGTGAACGGCTGGCTGGAGCGCGGCCTCGACGCGCTCTTCCGAAAGGCGTGTGGGCATGAGACTGCCGGCGCCAACCTCTACGGCGCGCGCGAGAGGTGGTCGGCCTTTGTTGCCGCGCGGAGGTCGCTCGCCCTAGCCAAGTGCTCGCTGCGCCTCGAGGAGATCCGGCTGCTCCTCCACGCCCACCGCCTAGCTCCCGCGGCAGGGCTGCGCCACCTCTCGCTGCGCAACAACGGCCTGGGGGACGATGCGACGGCGCAGCTGGCTCGCGCGATCGGCTCCGGAGCGCTCCGGTGGACGGAGACGCTCTTTCTGTGCGGCAACCACATCACGGACCTTGGGCTGCGGTCGCTCGTCGAGGCGGTGCAGGAGGGAGGCGGCGGCGCGGCGGCGCACGGCGGCGCGGCGGCGCCGGCGCCGACCGCGCTCTGCAAGCTCCACTGCGACAACAACCGGCTCGGCGACGGCGCCCTCTTCCACCTCGGCGCCTGCCTCTCCCGCGCGCCGATTGGCCGGCTGCGTCTCCTCTCGCTCCGCACGAACGGCATCGGCGACGTTGGCTTCGGAGGGCTCGTCCACAGGCTGCTCGGCGCTTTGCCCGTGCTGCTGCCTCGATTGCCAGAGCTCCGGCTCGGCGCGAACCGCATCAGCGACGCGGGGCTTGAGAGTTTGGTCGAGGCCCTGCAGGAGGGCGTGCGCGCACACCCGGCGCTAAAGCGGACCCTGCAAAACAAGATCGGCGCGCTGGACCTCAGCGAGAACCCAATGGGCGACGGCGCCCTCATGGCGAGATTCGAATCTCTCACGATGAGGAACATCGGTCGCTTCCTGTAGCTCTTGCCCGATAGGCGGCTTCGGTAAGCTCTATCCGCTGTGCGCTCTGGGGTGGTCTCTCTCGGGGTGGTGCTTTTGTGCACACATATCAAGTGCACCCCCCGAAGTAAAAGGTCACGGACAGCGAGCTCGACAACTAAATGTCCCACTTCACGCATCACATTTTGGTATACTTGGGAAGAGCCGACTATATCAGCCAATCACAAAAGATGGAGAACTCCGGGGGGCCGCGCAAACCGCAAAGCCCAGCCGCCGTCCCGTGAAGAGCGCCATAGTCTCGGTTGCGGGTGGGGCCGTGGGGCGGTGCTCTCGCGAGCCCCTGCCTCCACGAGTCCGGCCTAGTGGTTTTGCCAGTGCTTGTACTCGCCCACTTGAAACTGCTTCTCGACCACGACGTACAGACGCAGCAGGCTCAAACAAGCGACGCCCACCAGCCGCGCCAGCCAGAAGCGAACGCCGAGGAGCAGCGCCGCGGCGAGCACGCGGTACGTGCGCTTGCGCCAAGCGGCGAGGGCGGAGACGGCGGCCTGGTAGTGCGCGCAGCGCTCACCCGAGATGGTCCGAGATGGTCCGAGGTGGTCCGAGGTGGTCCGAGGCGGGGCGGGCCTGGCAGTGTCTGCAATGGCTCGTGTGCTGCGTGAAGTGGTCGAAGAGCGCGTCGCGGCTGTAGATGGGCGGCGGAAGAGGGCCGAGCCCCGCGTGGGGGCCCGATGCGGAGGAGGCCTAAAAATGAAACACGTCGCAATAAAAAGAAATGCCGCCCCGCCGAGCCCCCGCGTGCGGTGCCCGGCACCGGCAGCCCGGATGGCGCG